TTAGTTAAATCATCTGATGTAAAATTTTTTTACTCACTAGGTCAAAGGTAGATCAGTGTAATTGTATGGATAATTTTCCATTCATTAGGTTACAGCTTAAGAATGTGATTTTACTGATCAACTTAAACTGATTAGCAATTATTGCTAACTTGGTTAGGTTCACGTTAATCTCCCCAAATAGAGTAGGTCACCTTTCATTCACAAGTTTGTTCGGCTGGTCGACTTTCTTAAAGGTTACAGCTCTGTCCCGCTCTGTTGTTTGCTGTCTGTGATATCTTGCATTTACGTTTTCATTCTGAGAAAGAGAATGCCTGTGACACAGATTGGAGCACTCTCTAGGGGAGTTGTGTTAAGACCAGTTTCTCCATGTTTTTTGGAGTGTTAAAAGCGCTGGCGTGCTAAAATATATACAACACGCGATATCAACAGCATTGCGGAACACCTCCGTAACCTTGTGCCAAGATGACAGGTTCAGAAACTGCCAATTAGAAGTGAGCTAGTGTGTATATGGGCAAGGCGTGGGGAGACCAACGTAACTTTTACCGCTAACTCAAGTTATAGTACTGATCTTCTTACACTCATTCATGTAATATAGGCCAATTATGTAATGATATTAAACATCTCACATTTATTAACAATTCTATCCGGTGATTGTGATCTATCAGCTTACATCCCATAATTATCCACTTAACCTATAGACATCATAGATATCCATCACCTTGTAGACATAACACCTGTTAAGTTTTGATATAAGCCAGGATTGCCACGTCTGTGACTGAGTGTGTTTATATATATTTAGTATAAGGTAGCCACACCTGTGGGTATATATAGTGTAAGTTAGCCAGGTAGCTTGAATGTAACAAGGTAATGCAGACATGCTTGTGGGTGCAGGCACAGCATATTGTTGCCATACTTATGTACATTAACAATGCAATGTAGCCACAACTTGTGAGTATTTATCTAACAATGCAATATAGTCATACTTGTGGGTATATATCTAACAATGTAATGTAGCCACACTTTTAAGTATATATCCAACAATGTAATGTAGCCACACTTGTGAGTATATATCCAACAATGTACTGTAACCACATGTGTGGCTATATATCCAAAAATGTAATGTAGCCACACGTGTGGGCATATACCTAACAATGTAACGTAGCCACACTTGTGGGTATCTAACAATGTAATGAAGCCACACCTGTGGGTATGTATCTAACAAAGTAATATAGCTACAACTGGAGGTATATATATCTAACAATGTAATGTAGCCACACCTGTGGGTATGTATCTAACAATGTAATATAGCTACAGCTGGGGGTATAAACCTAACAATGTAATGTAGCCACACCTGTAGGTATATATCTAACAATGTAATGTAGCCACACTTGTGGGTATGTATCTAACAATGTAATGTATCCACACCTGTGGGTATGTATCTAACAATGTAATGTAGCTACAACTGGGGGTATATATCTAACAATGTAATGTAGCCACACATGTGCGTATGTATCTAACTAATGTAGCCACACCTGTGGGTATGTATCTAACAATGTAATGTAGCCACAACTGTGGGTATGTATCTAACAATGTAATGTAGCTACAACTGGGGGTATATATCTAACAATGTAATGTGGTCACACCTGTTGGTATGTATCTAACAATGTAATGTAGCCACACCTGTGGGTATGTATTTAACTATTGTAGCCACACCTGTGGGTATGTATCTAACAATGTAATGTAGCCACACCTGTGGGTATGTATCTAACAATGTAATATAGCTAAAACTGGGGGTATCATACATATATAAAACAACAAAATGCAGTCAAACTTCTGAGTGCATATAACAAAACTTAAATACCGCCACATTTAAGCGCAAAACAACATACACATAAAGGTAACCAAATATGCCAGTACATATATGCAACAATGTAATGCAGCAGCCACACATTAGGGCACATACACAATTCAATAATTTAATGCAGGCACATAAACACAAAAGACAGAGCCACTCCTGCTGGCATGTACACTCAACAACATAATGCAGCCACATATGTGGGCACATGCACATAAAAATATAATACAGCTGCACATACAGGCACGTATATGTGACAGATATTTCTGAGTACTTATATGTAACACTACTGCTTTCAACATTTGTTGCCATCTACCTTAGCACCTCAGGTGCTCATTTTGATTTGTTTGGCAACTGGGTGGGTTAATCAGGGTGTTCATTTTTGGCAAGACAGGGGAATAGGGAGTGGAAATGTTGATTGAAGATCAAGGAGAAGGCAATTTATGTCATACAAATACGTTCTTTACATCTTAGGTGTTAAATAAATATGTGTCAAACATACTTCAGTTAAAAATGGAAACTACAAAATCGATAATGGATAATGTATAGTCAGTAAGTCCAAGTCCAAGTCCTTTTGAGAAAAAAAAATAAAAGCTCGACCACGTTCAGACTGCTGCTAGCTAGCATAGTCAGTAACAGGGTAAAGCTTTTAAATACACAATGTGTTATCTGTACATATTAAAAGCATTTGTTTATACAGCTCAATACATAAAAATGCACCCATTTTTTTATTGCAGTTCTGTTTATTTTCTTCTTTTTCAATGCTCTGTGGCATTAGAAATTATAACTGTTCAAAGACTGCCGTCTCACGCACAGTAAATCATTTCTTAGGTGTTCTTCTATGCCATGATAACAAACTGTCCAGAATGTTTTCTTTTGGTCTCCTTCTCCCCCCCACCCCCCTTCCCCCAGCTTTCCTTTGTCTAGGCATACTTAACTTTTTCCCCATCTCACAATGTTACCAAAGAATGTTGACTCTTTTGATGCTGGTCATAATTTCTCTATCAAGATACGTTTATTCTTTTTGTCTGCCAATGATGTTCTTATAAGTTGTCTATAAAACCATACGTCCCTAGTTTGTACACCTTTTTTCACTAACTGGCTCACCTCCCATAATCCACTTCGGCACATTCCTCTTGTGGGATCCGGGGCCCTAAAGAATAGACCCACTGCCTCACCCCCTACAAGCATGTCATAAAAGTTGACTAATTAGGGGAGTTTCCTTTAAAGGCGAAGTGCATCTGCCCAACAGACAAGGAACCAACAGTTTGCAAATCAATAAGCCAGATGTGTAAAGTGGATGTGCTGGTGAAAGGTTCTGGCTATTCATCCACTTCTGGACTTTGGCTTTTTCCAGAATGGGTTTTGCGTGCATATCTGCATTATTTATAAGCAGACTGCTGGTTCCTTGCAACTTAGGCAGATGCACTTCAACTTTCAAGGAAAACCTTCTGTAATATGCTTTCTTGTGGGGCAGTAAGTCTCTTCATTTTTCTCCCCGAAAAGGGGTCCCAGAACCTACACTGGATATCAAACAGTGAAATCACTATTGCCACTCACCTTTGATCTAGAACAGTGCCAGAATGGACAGTAGAAGCAATTAAAGGAAAAAAAAACTATATGTGTGTGTATGTGCAGGCAGGCATGGTGTGTGCATATACACACAAAAATCAATGACCTCAAAATCCGAATCATTTCTTCTCAACAACTTGTTTTGTGAAAGACAATGAAAGACTATGGTTCAGGTACTGTGACCCCAGATTAGTCCAGATTTTGATTTATATAGTAAATGCCAAGTAATTATTTTTTTTTTTTAAACATATACATTTATAACAAGCACTAACAGAATTTCATCCTCCAGATAAGCTGAATCGGTGCACAAACACTCCTGTTATATCTGATGCTGTTCTTCTCTTCACATTCTTCTTAAATCCCGCTTTCAGAAAAAACTGACATCAGGAGGCCAGCAGCCTTGATGAAAGCTTTCATGCGGTCCAAATCTCCCAGTGAACCATACAGCGTTGTCAAGACTGAGCTTGGAATACAGGTCAGAGGGTTCCCTTCTGCTAGCAGAGTACAGTTTACAGTGTTGGAGAAAATACTTAGCATTTCCAGGAGGCATCTCTGTCACTGAGAAGTTGTTGTTGCTTTTTCAGTACCTGAAAGGCTTCAATTTGAGTGAGCTTCAAATGAAAACCTTAAAAGTGTGATGGGGATTAAGATAACCATCCCACTGTCTTGTAGACTGTCAATACTGTTGAGGATGTAAAGAGTGTTAAAAACTTGACATTCTAGTAATGCCAGAATGACAGTTTAAAGATGGCTGCCTTAGCAATAATAATGATAGGTTACAAGACAATGGCATGTTTATTGTGATTTCTATCACATGTTAAAGTTTTCATTTGAAGTCTTCTTGTACATTTATTGCTTACTTTTCATTAGACACACATTTCTTTATTTTTTCCTCCCATTCCTCTGTTACGTAAATAAATTCACCCTCTATTATTTACCATTACCCATTCAGTCCCTGGACTTTTACAGTAACAGGGAACTGAACAATATATTCACTGATTCCTCACTATAAAGTATACATTTCTTTATTCTTTCAGTATCATTCTTCTCTTATGTCAGCTCAGTTCTCAAAATTATTGCTGTAACTACTTCTATCCCAAAGATGTATTTTACGTTTCCGTGAGACTAAAAACTTCAGAACAGACTGTGATAAATTAGGAACTAAAAGGGGTTAAACGTATTAAGTGTCGTGTGGCTACAAAAAATGAACAGGTCATCAGCACCATCGTGTGCCATGCACACAAAAAACAATAGGTGGTCACATTTCATTACCTCACAAAATGACCAGAATCACCAATCAAGACTGTGTTGTTGGTTCTTGTCCCACCCAAACCATAAAGGGACCATTTAATGCAACACCAAATAGCATTTCTTCCCCAATTTCTTTAAAAAGAAGACAGTTCTGCTTTCATGACTCTAATTTCATATCTGAGCAACTAAAACAACAGCCCATAGACTTCAATAAAATAATCTTAAGTGACGTCAATATCAAAGTAAAAAAGAGTTCCGAACAAGTACAGGTATTTCTATAAATATTTCATGGACCATTGGTCAAGTCCAGAATCAGCCGGATTTAAACACTGTACCTGTTGTTGATAGACAAGGCAACAGAAGGCTCTGACTGGTCCGGCGCTAGACTGCTGACTACATTCATGTTCCGACCGGCATTTGTAACGACCCGACTTCCTATCAACGAAGACAGAGAATAGGTGTGATGCCCTGACAACATGGAGTAGGCTGGTCTGTTCTCCATGCCGTCATTGTCTCTAGCCTCTAGTTCATCCATCGAATCAACAGCAGCGCAGTCTCTGAGCAGTTTTTCCTTCATTGTGCGTGATCTGTAGGAAGCTATCGTGCAACCAGTGTTCAGAGATATCGATTCTGGGCTGAAGTTAGTGCCATAAATCTTAATTCTATTTGAAAAAAAAAAAAAGAAATTATAAGAGTTAATTGTGACTCTATCTGAAGAAAATAAAACAGTAAATCCTTACTTTATTTGAACAAAATAAAAAAATATAACAGTAAATCATACTTCTATCTGAATTTTTTGTTAAAGAAGAAATTATAACAATTCTGATGCTATCCAAACAAAATGAAACAGTGAACCCTTACTTTATCTGAACGAAATGAGAAATTATAATAGTAAATCCTACTTCTATTTGAATTTTTTTTTTAAAGACAAAATTATACCAGTTAATTCTGATTCTATCAAGACAAAAATATAACAGTTAATTTTGATGCTATCCAGACAAAATATAACAGTTAATCCTCATTTTATTTGAATAAAATAAAAAAATTAAAACAGTAAACCCTAGTTCTATTTAAATAAAATAAGAAATTAAACAGTAAATCCTAGTTCCATTTGAATAAATTAAACAGTCAATCCTAGTTCTATATGAATAAATTAAACAGTAAACCCTAGTTCTATATGAATAAAATAAACAGTAAATCCTAGTTCTATATGAATAAATTAAACAGTCAATCCTAGTTCTATTTAAATAAAATAAACAGTAAACCCTAGTTCTATATGAATAAAATTAACAGTCAACCCTAGTTCTATATGAATAAAATAAACAGTAAATCCTAGTTCTATATGAATAAATTAAACAGTAAATCCTAGTTCTATATGAATAAATTAAACAGTAAATCCTAGTTCTATATGAATAAATTAAACAGTAAATCCTAGTTCTATTTAAATAAAATAAACAGTAAACCCTAGTTCTATATGAATAAAATAAACAGTAAACCCTAGTTCTATATGAATAAAATAAACAGTAAATCCTAGTTCTATATGAATAAATTAAACAGTAAATCCTAGTTCTATATGAATGAATTAAACAGTAAATCCTAGTTCTATATGAATAAAATAAACAGTAAACCCTAGTTCTATATGAATAAAATAAACAGTAAATCCTAGTTCTATATGAATAAATTAAACAGTAAATCCTAGTTCTATATGAATAAATTAAACAGTAAATCCTAGTTCTATATGAATAAAATAAACAGTAAACCCTAGTTCTATATGAATAAAATAAACAGTAAATCCTAGTTCTATATGAATAAATTAAACAGTAAATCCTAGTTCTATATGAATAAATTAAACAGTCAATCCTAGTTCTATATGAATAAAATAAACAGTAAACCCTAGTTCTTTATGAATAAAGTAAGAAACTGCAAAAGTATTTTCTAGCTCTATGTTATTAAAATAAGAAACTATAACAGTAAATCCTGGTTCTATCTGAATAAAATCAGAAATTGTAAGAATCATTGACTAAAGAGCTGTACAAGTGACAATATTCTTCTTCAAGTGTTGATGACAGCATGGCTCTAATCTATCTGTCTAGTTAGTTTCTCACCACTAGTGAGACTTTCTGTGAGAATGGTGTATAGCATTCAGTTCTACCAAAGCAATCACACACTGGCTTGTTTCACCTGCCTGTTGGCCCAGTCATTACTGGTCTAGGGTTTCAATGTCATCATCTGCTTCACCATCCTCCAATTACTTATATATTTACAAGGAATGCTTTCACCTAGGTAGCCTGTCTCTCTTACTGTGTTAAACAGTTAAAATATTTTCACTTTGTTCCTCTGCTTCCTCAGTATTCAGATCCCTTGAGGTTTACAGCTGCAGATATTACACCCCTCCCCCCCCCCACCCCCTTTAATTATTTCTTAGACTGGTCTTCTTTTTCCAGTTGGTGACTTTAAGTGTTTCTAGGTCTGTATGTATATTATCTCTCCACATCTTCTTGGTCTGCCTCATGGTCTTCTCCCATTTTACTCTTTTGTCACCCTGTTGTCTGTCATTCTCTTTATATGCCACCCACCAATGCAAACAGATTATGAATTATGTTGCTATTCCTCATTCTACATTTGATGCTGTTTGTTTCTTTGCTGAGTTCCAAGATTTGTCATAAGACGGTTCTCAAAGTTTTGTAGTAAGGCTTCATCTCTTTAAGTTGTACCCCAGCTGTCACAGCCATATAAGACAAATGGTGTTTTAGATATTCTGATTTTGGTGCTATGAGACAAAGTATCTTAGGTTAGTAGAATTTACTGGGCAAAGTTAGAACATTAAAATCTTCTTCCTTCTTCTTTGATGTTTCTGCCAAAAAATGTGTGTGTCAGAAAAAAGATCAGCTATCATGCAGTCTATATATTCCCATGTACCATTCAGCTTTGTCTTCATTGAGGATGGAACAGGCCAGTTTGCTTCTCTGTTGGCAGCATACAGCTGACAGTGGTAAAGCATTTTCTGATGTTAGGTTTCCTACACTGGAAAACTTGAACATATGTTGGTGAAGTCTGTCGTATCCTGTCCTTAGTCTGAATATGACATACTGTCCCTGAAGGTGATGAATTACGCCACCTTTCCAACTCTGATATCAAATCAGTTTATGGATCAGAAACATGGATAATGACCAAAGCAATCCCTAATAAGAAATTCACCATCATCAACAGATGCCATATTAGATGTTGTATCCTCTTCTTCTTCGCATTCACCAGCTGTAAACTCTGGTGGAAAGCTCTGATTGTTCATCCACTTCTAGACTGCAGTGCTGTTCCAGAACCTGAGTGTTGCGTGTGCATCTGTTTTACAGATCTGACTCATTTGTATGCAGACTGCTGGTTACTTGCCTCTCAGGCAGATGCACTCAGAATCTGAAGGAAGCTCCCAATTAGTCGACTCTTTATGACATGCTTTTGGGTAGGCAGTGGGTCTATTCTTGTTTTCCCTATAACAGGACCCTGGAACCCACACGAGCAAGATGTTGTATGTGTTCAGCCTCTTCACACATCTGGGTCTCTGGTGTTTGGAATCAGCTCTACTGCTGGTATTCTTCCCTGCTACTGTCATAAGCTGATTGGCATCAAGTCTCTCAACCTGCTTCTGCCTTTTCTACTCTGCTTTCAGCTAAGGCAATGTTCAACAAGAGCCCTCCTCTCATCACACAGACCAACAAGTGCCCTAAGTTGACCCTCATGCCTAGACAGCATTCAAAATAAAACAACAACAAAACTGACTCTGCTGGAATTTCAGACAAGAAACCTTTAAAAAACTGAAATCGTTCATAGGTTACCAATGAATTTGTTAAAGATTTATTTATCTATTGTTTTTTTTTTTTTTTTCAAAATATATAAAGATATAAACCAAAAAGATTAAAAATTAAACATGAACACAGTGAAGCATTAACTGGGAAACATTCCCCAGAGCCTTAACAAGTTGTTTCGGGTGACTCAGGCTGTGACCCCGTGACCTTTATCAAAGAGGCCTGCTGACAAATGTGACACTGACTTGGCTGGGGGGAAAAACACCATAAATTCAAATTTTTTTTTATGTATTTGTATTCTGACCTCTCAACCATTTCCAGAGGTGTGAAAACAGCCAACAGCAGCAACTATGCATCTCATTTGGAAATAGGCCATAATAGTCAAGCTGGAAATGTGAAATTTATGGGGAACATAGATTCAACATAGTTTATACAGGGATTGTAGAAGTGTAGTAAGAATAAATCAGGGAACATATCCTTTCACAGTGACATCTGGAGTAAGACAGGGATGTGTCTTATCACCACTGCTATTTATCACCTACATCGACACTATATGCAAGAATGCCAAGCCCATGAATGAAAATGTTAGTAAGATCAACGAATTACTCTTTGCAGATGACCAGGCCTTGATAGCAGATACAGCCATGAAATTGCAACAACATCTAACATCCATGAATGAAGAATGTAAAACAAATAATATGAGAATCAACACGGAAAAGACAGAAGTAATGTCAATAGGAAAAAAGAAGACAAGTTCTAAACATAGCAATAGAATACAAAGGCATTAAACAGGCATCTGAGTTTAAATATCTGGGAACTACATTTACCGAAGATGGGAAATTGGATAAAGAAATTGACATTAGATGCAGTAAAGCAAACCAAGTATTGGGACAGCTAGCCCCCCTCTTACAGCATAAGACAATCCCAATCAGTACAAAGAGACATCTTATTCAAAGCATATTTATTCCAACTCTGTGCTACCAGTGCCAGACATGGTCACTCACCACAAACCATAAAAGAAAATTAGTAACCACGGAAATGAGATGTCTGAGAAGGGCTGTAGGAGTGACCATAAGAGATAAGATCAGGAATGAGATCATAAGAGAACAAGTCGGCACAGAACCAATTCTGGATTACATACAAAGACAGCAAGTGAAATGGTTTGCCCACTTTGAGAGAATGCCTTGTGACACCATACCATACAAAGCATACATGGAAAGAGAAGAAGGACGTAGAGCACGCGGTAGACCAAGAACAAGATGGAAGGATAACATCACAGAAACTCTACAACAGCACGATGTGCCTATGGTCGAGGCAGCCAGAAGAGCTAGAAACAGAACCTTATATCTCCCTCGACACCCACAGCGGTAAAAGAGGAAGTGAAGAAGAAGAAGATAGATTCAACTGAAAATAGCAGTTCTGTGGTTTCTCCGGACAATATGGTTCAATCTTAGGTTTTACAGTTTCACAAATTTTTAGCAAATGGAATCATGAATATAAACAAGCCAAAAACACAGGTGGCTACATTGGAGTCTTACCTGTGAACCACACAGATAATAATGATGATGATAATTGAGAGCACATCAACTGTGACCCACAAGGCAGTATAGCTGACAACATTCTACAGGAATAGAACAAAGTGGATAGTTAATCTTCCCAAGGGATTCTATGGCTCCATTTTTAAGGGAGGGAGGGGAGAAGCTGTAAACCACAATACAATGTGCCAACTGCCTTTCAAGGGTGGTGGTGGTGGGCTCCTTCTTTTACAGACCAATCTGGCTTTGGTGGGGGATGTGGAAGAAGAAGAAGAATAAAAGGAGGAGGAGGAGAAGAAAAAGCAGAAAAAGAAGAAAAAGAAGAAGAAGAAGAAGAATTAATTAATTAAGATTTTTGCAGATATTATCAATTAAATTCAGATAAATTCCATGCTGATTAGTCACATTAAATTCTTTTTCTCTTCAATTTTTCTTTTACCACTTTGTGTCTCGAGGGAGGTATAAGAGATTCTGCTACTTGTTCTTTTGGCCGTCTCACCACAGACACACTACTGTTGTAGAGTTTCTGTGATGCTATCTTTACATATTGTTCATGGTCTACTCTACTCCTTTAGTGTACGAGTTAAATGGTATGACATTCTATCTAAGTAGGGAAACCATTTTGCTATAACACGACAGTAATCAATTCACTTAAATTCCGTGCAGATTACTATCACTAAACTATTCAATTCAGTTGTGTTTTTTGTAGTGTACTGTAATTGAACTGCTAAATTCAGTTACGTTCCATGTCGCGTACTGAGTTATGTTCCATGTGGAGTATTATAACTAAACTGTTAAATTCAGTTATGTTATATGTGGAGTACTGTAACTAAACTGTTAAAATTCAGTTATGTTCCATGTGGAGTACTGTAACTAAACTGTTAAATTCAGTTATGTTCCATGTGGTGTACTGTAATTAAACTGCTAAATTCAGTTATGTTCCATATGGTGGACTGAGTTATGTTCCATGTGGAGTATTATAACTCAACTGTTAAACTCAGTTATGTTCTATGTGGATTACTGTAACTAAACTGTTAAAATTATGTTCCATGTGGAGTACTATAACTAAACTGTTAAATTCAGTTATGTTCCATGTGGAGTACTGTAACTAAACTGTTAAATTCAGTTATGTTCCATGTGGAGTACTGTAATTAAAGTGTTAAAATTCAGTTACGTTCCATATGGAGTACTGTAACTAAACTGTTAAATTCAGTTATGTTCTATGTGGAGTACTGTAACTAAACTGTTAAAATTCAGTTATGTTACATGTGGTGTACTATAACTTGAGGTTTGAGGTTTAAACAACGGATCAACATCATGGCACATGGTTAGTAACCTGTTAGTGCTCCATTCTTCTTCTAACTCAAGTCTAAGTCCAGTGTACAGACTCTGTGGCACCGGCAAGGATCCTGAAATACTTTGGGTAGATATTTAACTCCAAATTGTGCATGGGCAGCGCCGTTAGGCTACTTTTTTCTATTTCCAACTGCTAAGAGATTTTTTACGTGCGCAACAATGCACAGGGGCGTCCGATCTCACTACACAAAGACCAGGGAAAATTACTAAAGTCCAAGTCCACGTGAAAAAACAGGCCATACTGGGGACTGAATCCAGAACTTCTAGCATATATCCCGAGACCACACAGCTCCCACTACTATAACTAAACTGTTAAATCCAATAAAGTTACGTGCAAACTATTCAAATTAATCAGCAGCCTATTCTTTACAGGACATCAGAAACCAGCCACAGCACATATTGGCTCTTATGTGGTTGTACTAGGTAATTGTATGTTCAGTAGTTTGCCACTGCTCTCTTAACAGTGGAATATCAACACCACTGTCAAAAAAAGATAGATAGGAGTTTGTTACCAAATGGCCTGCAGCTGAATTCAAAACCCGGTATATCATAATTGTGAAACCAAGTTTATAATGCATAAGAAATAACTAAATCTAGGAGATATTATGTGTGTCCTGTAGCCATAACAACACTAAAAACTGCATACTGATATTATCACATTGTAAAGTGACACACCTGGAGTTCATTCATTCATTATCCTGTCACAAAGAGCTCGCAGCCTATTCCTCCATTCTGTTGTATCCTTTACAATCAGTTCAATATCATGGATGGAATCCAGTCCAGCAGCTTTTGCCTCTCTTATCAACATTCATCTAAGGGTTTCTTTTGGGCGTCCTCACACATACTTAATCGCTTTAATTTTATTTTAATGCCTATTTGGTGATTTTCTGCTGGTTTCTTCTCAGGATTTGTTCTCTGTCTTCTAACTACTGCTCAGACATTTCTTTTCTTTTCTTTACTCTTTTTGAAAGCGTCCCATTTTGTTGTCATCTTTTTCTCAGACCTTTGTTTTTAAATGCATTTAACATCAGCTCCACGTTTTTAGTGGTTCTCCAACTGTCACAAGCATATGTTCAAATTAAATAAAATTGAAACTGAAAAAGCGTAACTTGGTTTTGAAACTATAATTTAGATCCATATTTCGTTGAAGCTATTAAAAGCTGCTGATGGCTTGTCAGAATTTCTTTCTTTGTATTTCCCTCACTATCAAAATTACTGCCTAAATAAGTAAATTGATCTGTTACTTTAATTATTTTTGTCTCTAGTACTTACATCTGCTTGATCTGTTGTTGGTGTCTTCAATATGTTTGTCTTTTCATAACTTATTTATAGTCCAACCCTTGATGTTATACCTGCTAAATCATCTGTTTGCCTATGCATGACATTCACCCAGGATAGCATCAAGTCAAGCAATGGAAACTTGTTGATGTCAGTGGAGCAATACTAGACTCATACTTTTATGAGATGTGGTCAATATTAGGCCGGCCGCATTTACTCCCAGGACATTACCTGGTAGCCCTTTCAGGCGTGTTGATCTTGGAGCCAAAGTCAACTGCAGAAAAAATCAGACTCAATGTGGATTCAAAATCAAGATCTTCGGGCTGGAATGCGAGCATCTAGCTGTTACACTACCATGGCTCACCAGGTATAACATAGGAGTGGTTATATCTTTAAGGTCATCAATGCATCACGTGGCCATGGAAATCCATAACATTACATACTGAGGTTATCTCATTGTCAGGTAACTCACCAGGTGTAAGAGAGGACTGGCTACATCTTGAAGATCTTCTATGTGCCGTGTAGCCACAAAATCAACTCCAGCACACCACAAGATGGACAGCAGCCAATGGCTGTTCACATCAGTGACGATGGTTGTGATGTTATTCTGTTGACTTCTCCTGAAGTTCCAACACACACAAAACATATAACATTAAAACAACATTTCATGTTAAGGGGAAGCGAGTCTAATCCCATTCCAGCAATGGGGCCCCTAAAACCCACACAGGGAGGAAAATAACTGAAACAATGACAAATAAACTACAAACATTATTTGATAATTAGTGTCTGGAGAGAATATTCCTCATCATCAATATCCACTTCTGCCATTAAGGAACAATATGCGATCCACAGCTTGATGAGCAGCAATGGCTATTGCATTCCGTATCAATACAGAAGCTCATTAATGTCGTCAATCCATCTTCTCCTAAGGCGACCTGATGCTTTCATATCAGATCTGTTCATGTGTAGTGCCTACGTTGGTAGTTATTCTGGCTGCATTCTCACTATATGACCAAACCATTTCATCTTCTGCTTCTCAATTAATCTGCTGCATGGCTGTGTTCCTACAGTCTGTCTGATAATTTCATTTCTAACTTTGTCTCAGATGGTTAAGCTGACGGCTCTTCTCAGGCATCTCATTTCACAGGTGTTAATTTTACGTAGGTTAGCCTGTGAGTATGTACAAGTCTGGCACTGGTAGCACATTGTTGGTATGATTATGCTGTTAAAACCTGTCTCTTGGCACTCACACCTATGTTTGGATGTCTTAATAATGGTGTCAGTTGATTTATAAATGCGCTGGCTAGATAGCATCGTGTTTCTATTTCCTGATCTATTTTCCTGTCTTCTGAAAATATACTCCCCAGACATTTAAATCGTTTAACTCGCTTCAGACAAGTACCATGCAACCCTAGACACAACGGACTAAGAATTCTACTGACCTGCAGTTTAAGTAGAGAATATAAAGTCTTAAATGGCATGATAGAATCACTGTGAAGTGTATGAAGAGAAAGCTCAATGTTTGTTTGCTGGCAGCTTTCCATCTCTCCAGATGACAGTGTTATACTGTGCCAGAGGGGGACATGGGAGTCACAGCCCATGGTGATGGCGAGTGTGACTAGCAAGATCCACTTGTGTTCAGAAAAGTCTTCCACAATTACTGCATGAGATTTCAGGGCAGTTGTTGCCAAAACATGTATCTAACTTGGTTCTTCCCAGATGCTCCGCTCCTAGTCTATAATTTTCTCCTTTCTCCCTATTCTCTTCCTGGTTTCCCTCCATGCATGATGATCCACGGTATCTTATTCCCACAAATCCACTTTAGTATGCGTATCACTCATGCACCCCATTGCTCACACATCCTAATGTCATAAGAGAAGAAGGTGATGAAACAGGTATTTGTTACAGAAAGAATAGGCTCAGTAATGAATATATTCAAAAGTGAAACAGGTATCTGTTACAAAAAGATGAAGAACTGTAATGAAACAGACATTTGTTGCAGAAAGAATAAGCTCAGTAAAGAAACATATTTGTTACAGAAAGAATAAGCTCAGTAAAGAAACATATATTTGTTACAGAAAGAATAAGCTCAGTAAAGAAACATACATTTGTTGCAGAAAGAATAAGCTCAGTAAAGAAACAGATATTTGTTACAGAAAGAAGAAGCTCAGTAAAGAAACATATATTTGTTACAGAAAGAAGAAGCTCAGTAAAGAAACAGATATTTGTTTCAGAAAGAAGAAGCTCAGTAATGAAACAGATATTTGTTACAGAAAGAATAAGCTCAGTAAAGAAACAGATATCTGTTACAGAAAGAAGAAGCTGGGTAAAGAAACATATATTTGTTACAGAAAGAAGAAGCTCAGTAAAGAAACATATATTTGTTTCAGAAAGAAGAAGCTCAGTAACGAAACAGATATTTGTTACAGAAAGAATAAGCTCAGTAAAGAAACAGATATCTGTTACAGAAAGAAGAAGCTCGGTAAAGAAACATATATTTGTTACAGAAAGAATAAGCTCAGTAAAGAAACAGATATCTGTTACAGAAAGAATAAGCTCAGTAAAGAAACAGATATTTGTTACAGAAAGAATAAGCTCAGTAAAGAAACAGATATTTGTTACAGAAAGAAGAAGCTCAGTAAAGAAACTGATATTTGTTTCAGAAAGAAGAAGCTCGGTGAAGAAACAGATATTTGTTTCAGAAAGAAGAAGCTCGGTAAAAAAACAGTTATTACAGAAAAATTAAGCTTGATAAAGAAAAGATTTTTGGGTACTACTCACAGAAGGTACTCTATCTCATCGGTGGCAAGATTTTGTAGCGGTTCCCATGGTTTTTCTTATGTTGTAGGGGTGTTATGAGAGTCTTCCTTGGTTTGGGTTTGTTCAACTAAGTCGACACAGTCTGCCAGCTTTCTTTTCTGTGAATGACTGTTTTTTGCGTGGAACGTGTTGTTTTTGTTGTGATTACGTCTCAGGCGCAAAAGGCGCCTGTTTGCAAAGAGGAAGTATTGCAGGAAGAATAACCGAAGGCATGATGATTCGTGAGCACCAAAGCATTTATGTTCTTGTATTTTTACATTCTTTTGTGGTGGATGTGCTTCATTGGTTGAAATAAGGAACACACGACACCCATACAACATAGGACAGCCTGTGGAAACCACCATGAAATCACGCGGCCGACCAGACAGGGCCAAATTTGTAAATTGTACCAATTTTTGTTTTACATAAAGCGTAAGCTTGAAAAAGAAACATGTATTTTTTTATAGGAAGAATAAATTAGGTAGAAACTGGTATTTGTAACAGAGAGAAAAAACATGATAATGAAAAAGACACGTTGCCGAAAAAAAAATTCGGTTAGTAAAGAAACATATATTTGTTACGTAAAGAATAAGCATAGTAATGAAACAGACAGGAGGAATAAGCTTGATAATAAAACAGATTTGTTACAGAAACAAAAGGCTAAGTAATAAAATAGCTATTATTACAGAAAAAAAAAGTGTGTAAATAGCTAACCATTATGGGGACATACCAAATGTCACTTTTATTATTCTTATTCGTATTCAGAAAGAAATAAAGCATGATAAGGAAACAGATATTTGTTATAGAAAGAATACTTCAGTAATGAAACAGATATTTTCTACAGAAAGAGTAAGCTCAAAGACGGTACAGATATTTGTTACAGAAAGAACAAGCTCAAAGACAAAACAGATATTTGCTACAGAAAGAATAAGCTCGATAAAGAAACAGATATTTGTTACAGAAAGAAATAAGCTCCGTAGTAAAACATATTTTCTTTAGGCAACACTAACCTCAAGTCTGTTAAAAAACACAGTGAATCCACTGTCATACATAGCACAGTGTCCCTTCTCTGGGACCCTGCAGGCACAAAACTTCCGCTTTCTGTCACATTATTGTACAGCCAGGCTGGCACATAAATCTGAAACATTAAGAAGACAAACATGTTTACCACAATGCAAAAAAAGTTGTTCTGTCAAGCAAATAAAAGATTTAGCACAGTATTTTATTGTTATCCGATAGTCAATTGCTGATCCAATAGAAAGATAAAATGAACGCTGATAATATAAGATCCCTATGTGGGTTTTTGGGGTCACATTTTGGAAGAGGGAATGGGGGGAAAAAAGACCCACTGCCCCCAAGAAGCATGTTGTACTAGGCGACTAATTAAAATTAACCATTTGCTGAAAATTGGATGCGATAGACCAAAAGGGCAGATATCGCAGCCTAGCTGCAAACCAAAACTCTATGTTAAGGGTGAAAGAGGAAGAGGAGCAGAAGCAGGCAAAGAAAAAGAAGAGGAAGAGAAGGAACAAGAAGAAGAGCAGGAAGAAGAGGAAGAGGAGGAAGAAGGAGAGGAGGAAGAAGGAGGAGGATGAGGAGAAAAAAAAGGAGGAGGAGGAAAAAGAAGAGGAAGAGGAGCAAGAGGAGCAAGAAAAAGAGGAGCAAGAGGAAATGGAAGAAGAAGAAAAAGATAAATGAGGATACAAAAATAGAATTACCAATTTATTGCAATAGCATACATCACTGCATCGCATCATATGAATACTAAATAAAATGTATAGAAGTTGTGCAACCAATAGAAGCAACATTTTTTTGTTGGCTTTAGAGGGTTAAAGCTTCAGAAAGAAGACAGTTGGATCCAAGGATGTTATTAATGCTGTGAAGAAATGTCTACTGAACAGGAACAAATCTGATACAGCGAGGTGAACATGCCCTTGGTTCGTGCTGGAGTTCACAGAGATGGATAGAGATTTTACAGACAAATGTGATATATAGAGGACATAATGAGCTAGTGTGTCAGTGAATTTCATTACTTTCTGAAAGCCCCTTATAGGCTTAAGTAACAAACAGGTGTAAAACAACTGTTACTTCAAAATAACAACACTCAAGGTCAGAAGGAGTAAAAATAACTACTACTAGAATTTAAAAAAAGTTGGAGCAACTACACAGTAAGCAAAAGTAATTAATTCACAGGGACCAACACACACACACAAATATTAATGAAACTTATTAAATCAGCAAATATACAGTCTGTAAAAGAAATAAACTGACTGTGACTAAAGAAGTTAGAGCAATTAAAACAGTCAGTAAGAGTAACTATTTGGGACTGAAGACGCTGGAGCAACTACAACAATATGTAAAAAGAATTAACAAACTGGGACTAAAGACGCTGGAGCAAATAAAATGGTCAGTAAGATTATTTCTCTGGACCTAAAGAAGTTGGAGCAGCTACAAGATTAGGTAAAAGTAACTGTCTGGACTGAAGAAAAAGGGGGCATCCACAACAGTCAGTAAAAGAGACTGTCTGGACTTAAGAAGCAGGAGCAACTACAGCAGTCAGTAAAAGTAATTGTCTGGACTGAAGAAGCTGGAGCAATTACAACGGTTAGTAAAATTAACTGTCTGGACTGAAGAAGCTGGAGCAATTACAACGGTTAGTAAAATTAACTGTCTGGACTGAAGAAGCAGGAGCAACTACAGCAGTCAGTAAAAGTAATTGTCTGGACTGAAGAAGCTGGAGCAACTTCAGCAGTCAGTAAAAAGTAACTGTCTGGACTGAAGAAGCAGGAGCAACAACAGCATTCAGTAAAAGTAACTGGACTGAAGAAGCAGGAGCAACAACAGAAGTCAGTAAAAAGTAACTGTCTGGACTGAAGAAGCAGGAGCAACTACAACATTCAGTAAAAGTAACTGGACTGAAGAAGCAGGAGCAACAACAGCAGTCAGTAAAAAGTAACTGTTTGGGGGAAGAAGTTGGAGCAACTACAACAATCCGTAAAATTAACTGTCTGATCAAAAGAAGCTGGAGCAACTACAACAGTCAGTAAAAGTAACTATCTGGACTGAAGAAGCTGGAGCAACTACAATAGTCAGTAAAAGTAACTATCTGGACTGAAGAAGCTTAAGCAACTACAATAGTCAGTAAAAGTAAATCTGGACAGGAGAAGCTGGAGCAACTACAACAGTCAGTAAAAGTAACTGTCTGGACTGAAGAAGCTGAAGTAACTATAAGCGTCTGTAAAAATAACTGTCTGGACTGGAAAAGCTGGAGCAACTACAACGGTCAGTAAAATTAACTGTCTGGACAGTAACAACTACAGCAGTCAGTAAAACTAAATGTCTGGACTGAAGAAGCTGGAGCAACTACAACAGTCAGTAAAAGTAACTGTCTGGAACTCAAGAAGTTGGAGCAGCTATAACATTAGATAAAAGTAACTGTCTGGACTGAAGAAATGGGAGCAACCATAACAGCCAGTAAAAGAGACTGACTGGATTGAAGAAGCAGGAGCAACAACAGCAGTCAGTAAAAAGTAACTGTCTAGACTAAAGAAGCTGCAGCAACTACAACGGTCAGTAAAAGTAACTGTCTGGACTAAAGAAGCTGCAGCAAGTACAAAGGTCAGTAAAAGCAACTGTCTGGACTAAAGAAGCTGCAGCAACTACAACGGTCAGTAAAATTAACTGTCCAGACTAAAGAAGCTGGAGCAACTACAGTAAAAAAAAAAAGTTACTGTTTGGGGAAGAAGCAATTGCAGCAACTACAGCAGTCAGTAAAATTAACTGTCTGGACTTAGGAAGCTAGAGCAACTACAACGGTCAGTAAAAGTAACTGTCTGGACTAAAGAAGTTGGAGCAACTACAGTTTTTAAAAAAAAAGTTACTGTTTGGGGAAGAAGAAATTGCAACAACTACAGCAGTCAGTAAAAGTAACTGTCTGGACTAAAGAAGCTGCAGCAACTACAATTAAAAAAAAAAAGTTACTGTTTGGAGAAGAAGAAATTGCAGCAATTACAGCAGTCAGTTAAAGAAAGAAGTTGGAGCAAAAGTTGATTTTGTAGTTCTCTGGACTGAAGAAGTTGGAGCAACCAGGAAAACATTTTTAAAATAATCATTTAAATTAGAAACTAAATAAAACACTGAAGGTAAAGTAAACAGAAAACCAAAGATATTTTGGTTGTGCAAATTGAAAACTGAAAGTACATTGACTAGGAATTTTTTTTTTAAACGGAAGGTTGATCATGTAAAAAGAAAACTGATTGTAATTTATCACGTAAATGGAAAACTGAATGTTCATTAACTTAAAAAAAAAAGAAAACTGAAGGTGTTAGTCATAAAAAGAGCAAAGGATCATCATATAGTGTGTTATTTGGTATATAATGAGATAAATGATACCTACACTGGATCTGTTGACCCAAACTTCTGATTCTGAAATGACATGATCAATGAGGCTGCCCGGATCACAGCAGTAGGGATGCCAAGATGGCAATGGCTGGATGATCAGGTAAAGCTCCAGGGACTCGTAGTCTGCTCCAAAATCCAACAGCTCAGACAAGGTTGGAATCTTTTCTGCACTGATTTCTGCAGTCTCATTTTCACTTAGACTCCACACTGACCCCCAAGGATCATGCTAAAAAAATGAAAATAAATTAAAAATAAAATCCTTATTTTAATTCTCTGTAAAGCAATTTTGTTATAAACTGGCTGGTTACTGTCTTCAAGTTTAAAAAAAAAATTTAACTTAAAGCACCTTTTTCATGTCATCAGTGCATTATATATATTCTTCTTTTTCTGCCTTTCTTTCCCCCAATGGAGCATAGGCCCTCAACCAACTCATTCTATCCTTCGCCATTATGTATATGATGATAGACTAATATTTTATCTCACTGTGAAACTTACTTGTCTCACTGTGAAACTTATCTCAATGTGAAACTTATCTCAATGTGAAACTTATCTCACTGTGGAACTTATCTCACAGTGGAACATATCTCACTGTGGGATACATCTCAATGTGAAACTTATCTCATTGTGAAACTTATCTCACTTTGAAACTTATCTCACCGTGAAACTTATCTCACTTTAAAACTTATCTCACTTTGAAAACTTATCTTACTTTGAAACTTATCTCACTGTGAAACTTACTTATCTCACTGTGAAACTTATCTCACTGTGGAGCCTATCTCACTGTGGAGCTTATTTCACTGTGGAACATATCTCACTGTGGGACACATCTCACTGTGGGACACATCTCACTGTGGGACACATCTCACTGTGAAACATATCTCACTGTGCAACTTATCTCACTGTGAAACATATCTCACTGTGAAACATATCTCACTGTGAAACATATCTCACTGTGAAACTTATCTCACTGTGAAACATATCTGACTGTGAAACATATCTCACTGTGAAACTTATCTCACTGTGAAATATATCTCACTGTGAAACATATCTCACTGTGAAACTTATCTCACTGTGAAACATATCTCACTGTGAAACATATCTCACTGTGAAACTTATCTCACTGTGAAACATATCTCACTGTGAAACATATCTCACTGTGAAACTTATCTCACTGTGAAACTTATCTCACTGTGAAACTTATCTCACTGTGAAACATATCTCACTGTGAAACATATCTCACTGTGAAACATATCTCACTGTGAAACTTATCTCACTGTGAAACATATCTCACTGTGAAACATATCTCACTGTGAAACATATCTTACTGTGAAACTTATCTCACTGTGAAACTTATCTCACTGTGAAACTTATCTCACTGTGAAACTTATCTCACTGTGAAACATATTTCACTGTGAAACATATTTCACTGTGAAACATATCTCACTGTGAAACATATCTCACTGTGAAACATATCTCACTGTGAAACATATCTCACTGTGAAACATATCTCACTGTGAAACATATCTCACTGTGCAACTTATCTCACTGTGAAACATATCTCACTGTGAAACATATCTCACTGTGAAACATATCTCACTGTGAAACTTATCTCACTGTGAAACTTATCTCACTGTGAAACATATCTCACTGTGAAACATATCTCACTGTGAAACATATCTCACTGTGGGACATATCTCACTGTGGGACATATCTCACTGTGGGACACATCTCACTGTGAAACATATCTCACTGTGAAACATATCTCACTGTGAAACATATCTCACTGTGAAACATATCTCACTGTGAAACTTATCTCACTGTGAAACATATCTCACTGTGAAACATATCTCACTGTGAAACTTATCTCACTGTGAAACATATCTCACTGTGAAACATATCTCACTGTGAAACTTATCTCACTGTGAAACATATCTCACTGTGAAACATATCTCACTGTGAAACATATCTCACTGTGGGACATATCTCACTGTGGGACACATCTCACTGTGAAACATATCTCACTGTGAAACATATCTCACTGTGAAACATATCTCACTGTGAAACATATCTCACTGTGAAACTTATCTCACTGTGAAACATATCTCACTGTGAAACATATCTCACTGTGAAACATATCTCACTGTGAAACATATCTCACTGTGAAACATATCTCACTGTGAAACATATCTCACTGTGAAACATATCTCACTGTGAAACATATCTCACTGTGAAACTTATCTCACTGTGAAACATATCTCACTGTGAAACATATCTCACTGTGAAACTTATCTCACTATGAAACTTATCTCACTGTGAAACATATCTCACTGTGGGACACATCTCACTGTGAAACGTATCTCACTGTGAAACATATCTCACTGTGAAACTTATCTCACTGTGGAACATATCTCACTGTGGAACATATCTCACTGTGAAACATATCTCACTGTGAAACTTATCTCACTGTGAAACATATCTCACTGTGAAACATATCTCACTGTGAAACTTATCTCACTGTGAAACATATCTCACTGTGAAACATATCTCACTGTGAAACATATCTCACTGTGAAACGTATCTCACTGTAAAACATATCTCACTCTGGAACATATCTCACTGTGAAACTTATCTCACTGTGAAACTTATCTCACTGTGAAACTTATCTCACTGTGAAACATATCTCACTGTGAAACATATCTCACTGTGAAACATATCTCACTGTGAAACATATCTCACTGTGGAACATATCTCACTGTGAAACTTATCTCACTGTGAAACATATCTCACTGTGAAACATATCTCACTGTGAAACATATCTCACTGTGAAACTTATCTCACTGTGAAACTTATCTCACTGTGAAACTTATCTCACTGTGAAACTTATCTCACTGTGAAACATATTTCACTGTGAAACATATCTCACTGTGAAACATATCTCACTGTGAAACATATCTCACTGTGAAACATATCTCACTGTGCAACTTATCTCACTGTGAAACATATCTCACTGTGAAACTTATCTCACTGTGCAACTTATCTCACTGTGAAACATATCTCACTGTGAAACATATCTCACTGTGAAACTTATCTCACTGTGAAACTTATCTCACTGTGGAGCCTATCTCACTGTGAAACTTATCTCACTGTGAAACATATCTCACTGTGAAACATATCTCACTGTGAAACATATCTCACTGTGGGACACATCTCACTGTGAAACGTATCTCACTGTGCAACTTATCTCACTGTGAAACATATCTCACTGTGAAACATATCTCACTGTGAAACTTATCTCATTGTGAAACATATCTCACTGTGAAACATATCTCACTGTGAAACATATCTCACTGTGAAACATATCTCACTGTGAAACTTATCTCACTGTGAAACTTATCTCACTGTGAAACATATCTCACTGTGAAACATATCTCACTGTGAAACATATCTCACTGTGAAACATATCTCACTGTGAAACATATCTCACTGTGAAACATATCTCACTGTGAAACATATCTCACTGTGAAACTTATCTCACTGTGAAACTTATCTCACTGTGAAACATATCTCACTGTGAAACATATCTCACTGTGAAACTTATCTCACTGTGAAACATATCTCACTGTGCAACTTATCTCACTGTGAAATATATCTCACTGTGAAACTTATCTCACTGTGAAACATATCTCACTGTGAAACATATCTCACCGTGAAATGTAAATAATGAGTGCATGAGTTTGTGGATTGGTGGGCAGGCGAGTGTGCGCATGGCTGCATGCATACACATATAATGATTTATAAATAGGCATAATGAACCACAAACACACACAGCAAACTATGAACCTACTTGAAGAAACCAGGAGCCAGCACTGAACATCTTCAGCTCAGACATCGTATTTCTCATGGGGATCTCACTGATATTGTCGTTCTTGATCTCCTCAAAGTCTGTTGTACGCACAAGAGTGTTGTCATGAAAGACAAACGGAATACCATCAAAGCTGCAGAAAAATGAGAATCGGCAATGAAATGGTTGAGTCTGATACAGAATATACAGAGTATAGAGTCGTTTGGGCACACATTGGCACCTAAAATGACTGTGTTCAGGAAATCTAAAAAGATAAAAATTAATTTATAATCTTTCAAATGACATATACCAGAAGACAAAGCCCAGGTAACTTTACATAAACCAACTATCAGGACAACTCTTTGTTATAGTTGGTCAAAGTGTGATATTCTCTATTATGGTAAGTTAGTGTTAAAGGCTTTGTTTTAGTAGGTTAGTGTTATATTCTTTCTTAATAAATATAACACTAATCAACTACAACAAAAATTATAACACTTACCTACTATAGTTGAGAATATTACACTGTACCCTATAATAACAAAGAATATAACATTATTGTTCTATTATTATTCTTATATTCTTTGTTATATTCATGGAGAAAGAGGTGAGTCTCGGGATCATCAACTGGATTGCAGCAGGCTTGTATGAACGGCAAACTGCTTTTCACCTAGACTCATGGAACTCTGGACCCTGAAGAATCACCCCCAGCCTCCCACAGGGATTCCCCCATCTATATTCAAGCAGGGTAGCGACCACAGAGACAGTGGGTACAGGGAGAATTGCCACAGAGACAGTGGGTACAGGGAGAATTGCCACAGAGACAGTGGGTGCAGGAAGAATTGCCACAGAGACAGTGGGTACAGGGAGAATTGCCACAGAGACAGTGGGTACAGGGAGAATTGCCACAGAGACAGTGGGTACAGGGAGAATTGCCACAGAGACAGTGGGTACAGGGAGAATTGCCACAGAGACAGTGGGTACAGGGAGAATTGCCACAGAGACAGTGGGTACAGGGAGAATTGCCACAGAGACAGTGGGTACAGGGAGAATTGCCACAGAGACAGTGGGTACAGGGAGAATTGCCACAGAGACAGTGGGTACAGGGAGAATTGCCACAGAGACAGTGGGTACAGGGAGAATTGCCACAGAGACAGTGGGTACAGGGAGAATTGTGACTTTTGCTGACCATGTCTGAGTCTGCAGGCAGGGGAGAATTAGACCTTAAATAATTAAACAACTGCTACAAACCGTAGTAGACACGGGAGGTGAGGAAACAGGCTATATCATGAATCAAGATAAGGCAGTAGTAGACACGGGAGGTGAGGAAACAGGTTATATCATGAATCAAGATAAGGCAGTAGTAGACACGGGAGGTGAGGAAACAGGCTATATCATGAATCAAGATAAGGCAGTAGTAGACACGGGAGGTGAGGAAACAGGCTATATCATGAATCAAGATAAGGCAGTAGTAGACACGGGATGTGAGGAAACAGGCTATATCATGAATCAAGATAAGGCAGTAGTAGACACGGGAGGTGAGGAAACAGGTTATATCATGAATCAAGATAAGGCAGTAGTAGACACGGGAGGTGAGGAAACAGGTTATATCATGAATCAAGATAAGGCAGTAGTGGACACGGGAGGTGAGGAAACAGGCTATATCATGAATCAAGATAAGGCAGTAGTAGACACGGGAGGTGAGGAAACAGGCTATATCATGAATCAAGATAAGGCAGTAGTAGACACGGGAGGTGAGGAAACAGGCTATATCATGAATCAAGATAAGGCAGTAGTAGACACGGGATGTGAGGAAACAGGCTATATCATGAATCAAGATAAGGCAGTAGTAGACACGGGAGGTGAGGAAACAGGCTATATCATGAATCAAGATAAGGCAGTAGTAGACACGGGAGGTGAGGAAACAGGCTATATCATGAATCAAGATAAGGCAGTAGTAGACACGGGAGGTGAGGAAACAGGTTATATCATGAATCAAGATAAGGCAGTAGTAGACACGGGAGGTGAGGAAACAGGCTATATCATGAATCAAGATAAGGCAGTAGTAGACACGGGAGGTGAGGAAACAGGCTATATCATGAATCAAGATAAGGCAGTAGTAGACACGGGAGGTGAGGAAACAGGCTATATCATGAATCAAGATAAGGCAGTAGTAGACACGGGAGGTGAGGAAACAGGCTATATCATGAATCAAGATAAGGCAGTAGTAGACACGGGAGGTGAGGAAACAGGCTATATCATGAATCAAGATAAGGCAGTAGTAGACACGGGAGGTGAGGAAACAGGCTATATCATGAATCAAGATAAGGCAGTAGTAGACACGGGAGGTGAGGAAACAGGTTATATCATGAATCAAGATAAGGCAGTAGTAGACACAGGAGGTGAGGAAACAGGTTATATCATGAATCAAGATAAGGCAGTAGTAGACACGGGAGGTGAGGAAACAGGTTATATCATGAATCAAGATAAGGCAGTAGTAGACACGGGAGGTGAGGAAACAGGCTATATCATGAATCAAGATAAGGCAGTAGTAGACACGGGAGGTGAGGAAACAGGCTATATCATGAATCAAGATAAGGCAGTAGTGGACACGGGAGGTGAGGAAACAGGCTATATCATGAATCAAGATAAGGCAGTAGTAGACACGGGAGGTGAGGAAACAGGCTATATCATGAATCAAGATAAGGCAGTAGTAGACACGGGAGGTGAGGAAACAGGTTATATCATGAATCAAGATAAGGCAGTAGTAGACACGGTAGGTGAGGAAACAGGCTATATCATTAATCACAAAGGCCGTAGTATTGTGGCGTTCTTTAAATAACTGCATTGTTAGAGACGAGGTAACTATGGAAATGATGTATCTGAGAAAGACTAGGAGTGATTAAAAGAGATAAAATCAGGAATGAGGTCATACAAGATAATAAAGTCAGCACAGAATCAATTTAAAATTATATACAAAGACAGCAAATCAAATGGTTTGCTCACTTGGATGCTATACCATACAAGGTATATACGAAAAAAGGAAAAGGACCTAGAGCAACAGGCAGACCAAGAACAAGTTGGGAAGATAACATCAGAGAAACTCTACAGCACTACATTGTGTCTGTGGTCGAAGCAGCCAGAAGAGCACACAGCAGGACCTTATGTCTCCCTCGACACCCAAAGCTGTAAAAGAGGACGTCAAGAAGAAGAAGAGACAAGGCGCCGACCATCACACAAAAATTGCAGTAACATAAAGAAAGATAATTCACTGAATTATCTAGGAATCACTTTTGACAGGAGTCTGTCCTAAGTGGAAGAGGTAGTTTAAAAAAATAAGGAAAGACCCCAATGCATTCAAGGTAATGGCATCAGTGGACATGGAACAGCAATTGATTAGTTTGGTGATGGAGTCGGGTTTGAGACTGCTAACATTATCCATGGTTTGGGGTCAGATTCCCCAACTTTAAAGTTCGAAGCCAAATTTACTAATCAATTTCAATGCTTTTCAAGGTATTCTTAGTTTTTTTTAATGGCTGTGTAATACTGAGGCGAGGTATTTTTGCCTTGTTCAAGGGTGTACCAAGCACAAATGGTACTTTATTTGTGCGCACACATGTGGGTACACCAGCACAGTGATAGTGTTTTTTTAATTTGTTCTACATTTGGTAGCAGAGGGGAGCAAAGTGAAATCCTGCCTGTTCTAGACCTGGTACCTGAAGGAAAGAGAGTCATACAGAGAAGGAGGAAGACAGATGTAGCATGGGAGAGTCAGTGTGAAAGACAAAGAGGGAGACAGTGGTAAAAGAGGGACAGGCAGATTGACATGGACAGATGAAGAGAAGGGGGAGAAGGGAAAGAGACAGAGGGAAGGAGGAAAAAAGATGACAAAGAGGGGAGGGATGGAGACATGATGAAGGAGAGTGGGAGAGGGAGAGTGAAAGACAGAAAGAGAGAAGAATACAGAAAGAGGGACATGCAGACAGAGAGATGGGCAGATGAAGACAGGAGGAAGAATGGAAAGAAACAGTGATAAGGTATAAGGAAAATATATGACACACAAAGAGAGATGGAGGGAGTTAGACAGAGGGAACAGGCAATTACCAATTTAAATGCACCTGTAACGCTGCATATGTGGTGAGAACTAATCAGCAACTATAGAAACAGTTTGCTAAACATATTCCACAAGGAATCAGGTGACTGGTCGACAAAATCCATCATTAGCAACTGCGTGCCATATTCTAAATTCTGGGCACATTGTAAATAAGGATGATGCATTTTGAATTTTTTAAAGTTCGCCAACCATATCACGGCTCGGGGGGAGGGCAGAAGATGATGACGGCATACAGGTATGAAGTCATACAGACATCAACCTGGGCGAAGAATGGATATCTGTGCCCCAGGTGCTCAACCACACCTTATCTTGTGTTGGCACTCTTGAGAGGACCTGTAGGGAGCAGAATCCAGTTGCTGTCAATGCAGAGGTCTATGCACTTAAATGTGAAAATTCAGATGAGGCGGATGTACCGATCTAAACAGATGAGTCGTTGTATGAGGACAAAAAAGTGAATGCAAATTTACTGCATGCACAGCAAGAAAAACAGTCCAGAGTCCAATGGTGCCTTCTGTCTGACTACTAGCAACATGATAATGAAGGTGATGGTGATAACACAAGCTTTCATGTGGCTAGCATCGCAGGACTATTCTCACGTGTGTGTGCTGAGTGATTCCATGAGCATGCAAGTCATTGCAAAAATCCATTATGCATGGAGTTACCTTCATCTTTGTACCAGGGTATGCGGGTGTTGTTGGCAATAAAAAAGCCGATAGATTAGCAGGCTCTGCCTTAGTTACAGAGGGCCAGTCATGCTGACATTGTTAATGCCATTAGAGAGGTAGGACATTGAAAGGATTTTGGGAGCAGCACTTCCACACTAAGAGTGCAAGAATTGGAAGTAAAGATCGGCACAGCCAGGCAGGGGAAGCACACAAGATGCACTAGAAGTCTTGTCAACCAACACAGGACTGGGACTATCAACCGCAGGAGGCTGATGTATATACTGAAGGTGGAATCTGAGCACCTATGGACGTGTCGGAGTGCCGTGAAGATAACCCAAATCATAACTCATATGTTAAAGGCAATCAAACAAGTGGGTCATATTATATACATAGGCTATATTCTGATATTTAAGGACACCAGAGCTGACAAAAATGTATAGAATATGGTGCTCATAAAAGAAACATATGCTGACATGTTGAGAACTGTGGTTACTAAAGCAACTAGGAAAAAATGCAATTAAACACTAGAAAAGTGGCAAGAAATACAAAGACGTATGTAGAAAGCTTAAAACAGGAGGGTAAAATTAGCTTCCTCAAAATATCAGATGACAGAGCGAAATGGAAGTCATAAAAGTCTGCCCTAGACAAGATACTAGTGAGTGAGTGAGTGAGTGAGTGAGTGAGTGAGTAAGTGAGTGAGTGAGTGAGTGAGTGAGTGAGTGAGTGAGTGAGTGAGAGAGAGAGAGAGAGAGAGAGAGAGAGAGAGAGAGAGAGAGAGAGAGAGAGAGAGATACAGGAACAGAGGGACTGAGAGGGAGGGAAGGAAATGGCAGATAAAGAATGAGTACAAGAAAGAGGGAGAGAGACACAGAGAATGAGGAAGACAGAGGGGTATGATGGAAAGACAGGTAGAGGGAGTTGGGATGGAGAGAAAGTCACAGACAAAGATCGGGCAAAGGGATATACAAAAGAGTTAAAGAAAAACGCATGACCCTAAAAGGTAAAGAGATACAGAAAGGGGAGGGGTGGGAATAGAGAGAGATAGAGAGAGAGAAAGTGAGAGTGAAAGGCAGAAATAGAGATATGAACGAATCAAGAATTGATATCAGGCATTCGGCACATTCCCACACGTGTTCCATCTCCTTCCTCAGTAGCCAACATGCTAACAGTTGCAGTCTGATGAAAAATCTGTTTCTCCCATAGTGTTGAACATCTTCTTGAATTTCAATGAATAGTTTGTCTGCTTTATTGCACTAGACGCCAGAGAGCTTTCGCCACATTCGCTTTATCATAAAGTAGCTCACCACCAGAAGAGCGACAGCAGTCAATCTATAAGCCTGCTCATTACCCTGAGCACCTGAATATCCAGGACAGACAATTCATGTTATGCTCCTCACCTAAGTCTCATCAAGTGATGCAAGAGTGGTAAATACAGACAGCAGGGACAGACAACTAGTACTATTAGCATGTCAACTCTTTGGTAGCTACTGAATAAGGAGACAGTGTGGGAATGTCTCGAGTGCAGTGTCAATACATCATTTATTCATCAATTCTTTGTTATGCTGATAAGTTTTTTATTTTGTGTTATTGAAGATTAGAGCTATATTCTTTGTTGTAGCGGATTAGTGTCATATTATTTGCTATAGTAGATTAGTGTTAAATTTTTTGTTGTGGCAGATTAGTGTTATTCTTTGTTATAGCAGATTATTGTTATATTCTGTGTTATAGTAGATTAGAGTTACATTCTATGTTTTAGCAAATTAGTGTTATATTCTTTGTTAAAGTAGATTTGTATTATATTCTTTGTTATAGCAGATTAGTGTTCTATTCTCTGTTATAGCAGATGACAGTGTGACGTTCTTTGTTATAGCAGGTTAGTGTTATACTCTCTGCTATAGTAGGTTACAGTGTCATAACTTTTGTTTCTCTTATGAGACCCAGTAACAGAAAGGCAGTTTTAAAAGTAAGAAGAAACAAATATTCAAAGACATTAGTTAAATCCCTCTTTGTTTCACACTTTACCAGTGTTGGATGAAATAGTCAAGTGAAAAAACTCACCTTATCTGAACGGTTGTCTGTATTCGTGTAACTCCCAAATCCAGAGCTTTCCTGAAGGCATACAGAGTGTTTTCTGGAGCCACCTGTATAGAAAAAAATATCTACAGAATGATTTCTGCAGCATAGTTTGATCCAAGCTGCAAGCGATTTGGCAGTAAACTGCCTAGCGATGGTTTCGACAGTGGTAGTGAAAGCTGATCATTCAGTAAGCAATGGCACACAGCAACATAAAATTGCCTAGTGAAATCACAAAAATGTGGGGTTTGGTTCTGCAACATCCTTTAACAGGCGTGCAAATAGATATTTATATATATATATATATATATATATATATATATATATATATATAGAGAGAGAGAGAGACACACACATGCATGCATGCATGCAGGCTCACACACTTATGCACGCATGCACATGTGTGCAAACACGCATACACACAAAAAATTTGAGCAATTTGTATATAAAAATATACGTAGTGTTTTCTAGAGCAAATATGTACAGAAAATATACAGTATTTTCGGTAGAAAATCTATCCAGAAAAAATAAATGGTGTTTTATAAAGCCATTTTGTGAAGAAAATATAGTGTTTTCTAAAGCCAATTCATACAGAAAATATACACAGTATTTTCTGAAGCCAACCTGAAGGAAACAACTAGCCCTAATTCGCAGGTGCTGAGGAAAAAAAATTGTTAATAAAAGTCAAGAGGGTCAACTTCATTGCACCGGGTTTTATCGGTCTCTCTCCGCAGAGTGGCTAGCTGCCTGCCAAGAGCTTCGCACAGAGCACGAACTCTGTAGCTATGGCAACAATCACCAGGAATCTCTGTAAAAAATTGCACTTGTGAACTGAAGGGCACAGCTGTGAAATGAACCCACAATTATCTTCAGAGCGCAATGCAAATGGCTTGACCGCTTCACCACAGAGAACTTTAGTCTCCTTGATTGACTGATTAATGTTCAACTCCACTAGGACATCACACAGAGCGACAAACACCTGGAGACATAAAGTCTCCATAAATTCTGATGAGGATCACCCTGGGACAGGTCCCAAAAAACCCAGTTCCAATCAAAGGTTGGGTTATATTAGAACTCCCGGCAACAGCCAGGGTGGGGCTTTAACATAACGAAAAACTGCGTCCTGTATTGAGATGGTGTTATTTTTTGTTCCACTTTGGTGTTATTTTTTGTTCCACTTTGGTGTTATTTTTTATTCCACTTTAGTTTCCTTCTTCTGCACTTGCCTTTTTAAGAGTGGCTGGAATTTTGAGCTGGGGTCTACAGCCAGGCTGCAATATCTAGGTCCTTTAGCCCAAATATCTCATTTCAATAAACCCTTAATCAGTCACTTTTTACAAAATTCTTGTTAATGTTTTTCACACAAAATGTGGCCCCTGTCTGGTTACAGTGCTGACTCAGTGTTGCTGAAAATGTAAGTTCTAAACTCTTATACCTGCAGCAGACATTTGGACAAGATACAAGCAATAAGAAAGTCGAACTAAGTCTCCTGATACATGGAGAGAGAAAAATGAAGATAGGGCACATTTAATTGGAACAAAAACAATCACATACACAGGTTTTGAAGAGACTGGAAATGAGAAAAGATATTTAAAAAAAAAAGAATTGTTGAAATGAAAAAAAAAGGATACAAGGAATATATTATGGAAGGATAAAATCAAAAGATAGATAAGCAGCAGTCTTAAAAAGTACACAACCATGGTAAGAGACAGACAGTAATCTATGATCTATGGCAGCCAATCTTAATGTGATGATAGCACCTGACTGATTAACATAATAAAGTCACAATCAGTAACAGAGACAACATAGTAAATGAGACAATCATTAACAGACAATATATTAACTAAGACAATATAATAACAGACACTACAATAATCAGGACATCCAGTAACAGAGTAACTAAGACAATACAATAACAGACACTACAATAATCAGGACATCCAGTAACAGAGTAACTAAGACAATACAATGACACACTACAATAATCAGGACATCCAGTAACAGAGTAACTAAGACAATACAATAACAGACACTACACTAATCAGAACATCCAGTAACAGAGTAACTAAGACAATACAATAACAGACACTACAATAATCAGGACATCCAGTAACAGAGTAAATAAGACAATACAATAACGGACACTACACTAATCAGGACATCCAGTAACAGAGTAACTAAGACAATACAATAACAGACACTACAATAATCAGGACATCCAGTAACAGAGTAACTAAGACAATACAATGACACACTACAATAATCAGGACATCCAGTAACAGAGTAACTAAGACAATACAATGACACACTACAAAAATCAGGACATCCAGTAACAGAGTAACTAAGACAATACAATAACAGACACTACAATAATCAGGACATCCAGTAACAAAGTAACCAAGACAATACAATGACACACTACAATAATCAGGACATTCAGTAACAGAGTAACTAAGACAATACAATAACAGACACTACACTAATCAGGACATCCAGTAACAGAGTAACTAAGACAATACAATAACAGACACTACAATAATCAGGACATCCAGTAACAGAATAACTAAGACAATACAATGACACACTACAATAATTAGGACATTCAGTAACAGAGTAACTAAGACAATACAATAACAGACACTACAATAATCAGGACATCCAGTAACAAAGTAACCAAGACAATACAATGACACACTACAATAATCAGGACATTCAGTTACAGAGTAACTAAGACAATACAATAACAGACACTACAATAACCAGGAAATCCAGTAACTGAGTAAATAAGACAATACAATAACGGACACTACAATAATCAGGACATCCAGTAACAGAGTAACTAAGACAATACAATAACGGACACTACAATAATCAGGACATTCAGTAACAAAGTAACTAAGACAATACAATGACACACTACAATAATCAGGACATCCAGTAACAGAGTAACTAAGACAATACAATGACACACTACAATAATCAGGACATCCAGTAACAGAGTAACTAAGACATTACAATAACAGACACTACAATAATAAGGACATCCAGTAACAAAGTAACCAAGACAATACAATGACACACTACAATAATCAGGACATCCAGTAACAGAGTAACTAAGACAATACAATAACGGACACTACAATAATCAGGACATTCAGTAACAAAGTAACTAAGACAATACAATGACACACTACAATAATCAGGACATCCAGTAACAGAGTAACTAAGACAATACAATGACACACTACAATAATCAGGACATCCAGTAACAGAGTAACTAAGACATTACAATAACAGACACTACACTAATCAGAACATCCAGTAACAGAGTAACTAAGACAATACAATGACACACTACAATATTCAGGACATCCAGTAACAGAGTAACTAAGACATTACAATAACAGACACTACACTAATCAGAACATCCAGTAACAGAGTAACTAAGACAATACAATAACAGACACTACAATAATCAGGACATCCAGTAACAGTAAATAAGACAATACAATAACAGACACTACAATAATCAGAACATCCAGTAACAGAGTAACTAAGAAAATACAATAACAGACACTACAATAATCAGGACATCCAGTAACAAAGTAACCAAGACAATACAATGACACACTACAATAATCAGGACATCCAGTAACAGAGTAACTAAGACATTACAATAACAGACACTACACTAATCAGAACATCCAGTAACAGAGTAACTAAGACAATACAATAACAGACACTACAATAATCAGGGCATCCAGTAACAGAGTAACTAAGACAATACAATGACACACTACAATAATCAGGACGTCCAGTAACAGAGTAACTAAGACAATAAAATAACAGACACTACACTAATCAGGACATTCAGTAACAAAGTAACTAAGACAATACAATAACAGACACTACACTATCAGGACATCCAGAAACAGAGTAACTAAGACAATACAATAACAGACACTACAATAATCAGGACATACGGTAACAGAGTAACTAAGACAATGCAAGAATGGACACTACAATAATCAGGACATCCAGTAACAGAGTAACTAAGACAATACAATAACAGACACTTCAATAATCAGGCCATCCAGTAACAGAGTAACTAAGACAATACAATAACAGATACTACAATAATCAGGACATCCAGTAACAGAGTAACTAAGACAATACAATAACAGACACTACACTAATCAGGACATCCAGTAACAGAGTAACTAAGACAATACAATGACACACTACAATAATCAGGACATCCAGTAAAAGAGACAAGATACTTACACTGGAGGCACCTGCCATTGCAATAATTCCTGGCTTCTCTGGTATTGTAGAACTGATGACAGGGGAACTCATCCAGAATGGAACTATACACAACGCCACAAAAACAACCAAGAGGATCGGCAACCAGGCCATTTTGTAAACTGTTTAAAAAAACACATAATATTGTCTTCTCTTCTTGATTATTATACTTCCTTATTCACCAATGTCAAACAAATTTCCATATACTAATCGGCACTCACAGAAAGATGTAGAGAGTTAGGAGGCCACTCTAGACAATATAAAAATTGAAAGCTGTAGTAATGAAGGTGAGAATCGAACCTGTCAACTCAAAAGTAATGACAGCACCTCATTTAGCATGGGGTGTCTAGTTGGTCATGCATCTAAGTATACTTTCTAACCATGTGGGTTCCTGGGCCCCACTTTGTGGGGGGGGGGGGGGGGGGGGAAGGGGGGGTGTAGATAGTAGACCACCTCCTAACAAGCATGCTGTACGAGTTGACTAATTAGGGGTGTTTCCTTCATAGTCGGAGTGTATCTGCCTGAGAGGAGGTGAAGAACCAACAGTCTGTCTACAAATAAACCAGATCTATAAAACGGACGTGCACGCAAAACTCAGATTCTGCAACAAGACTAAAGTTCAGAAGTGTATCAACAACCAGAATGTTCCACTGGAATTTACAGCCGGTTAATACAAAGAAGAAGAAATACATCTTCTCCTGCAGCAAGGCTCTCTCCTCATCTGAAGGTCACACTGAGTGTTTGTATGTAGTTGTTATCAAGGTTTCAGAGCTATAAAAGACAACCAGTTGATCAGTGTTTTACATATAGTGATCTGGGCAAGGCATGAGAAGAAATAAACATGGAAGAAGTCACAATTTAGCAACAACTGGCAAACTTCTCTCATGCCAAACAGTTCCGCACCTATGTTCTTGAACGCTTGCAGTCCCCAACAACAAATCTGTGATGTGAGAAGTGACTATTCCACATGAATCCCAGCTATATCTTTTTCTTTTTTCTGCAATTGCCTTTAAAAGAGCGTTTGCCACACTTAGCTGTAGTTTATAGCTAGGCTGCAATATCTGCACATTTCAGCCTAACACATCCTCCTAATTATCACCTTTTACAAAGTTTGTGAGAGAGCAGCAAGTCTATTCTTCACCACCAACCCTCCCTCCCCCAAAGGGAGATGTCATATCATGTGTCCATCAAATCCTTTTATTGTAAGTGCATTCTCAGGACATCTAACTTTTACAGTCTCTACGCCTGACCCTGTGCATCTGGCTTCTTTGAAAGTTTTGAACTCATGTGTTTGTTTTCTTGATGTTAATTCCCTTACTATGTGTCTGCTGCCAAAACTGTGTGGTACTTAAAGGGTCAGTGTGACAGGTAACTCTTTTACAGACATTTATTACTTCAAGACTGTCAGTTCCTATACCTTAGAGCAGGGCTATTCAACTGGCAGCCTGCGGGTCGAATCTGGCTCGCAGAGGCTTAGCAAGAGGACTAAGCATTGCTAACTGTATTGTATTAATGATCTTACTATGCTGAGGCTAGGGCCTCTAGGTTATGACAATCTCCATTTTCAACAAATTGACCCGGTGCTGAAAAGGACCAATTTTTCAGCCTTACTGAACCAGAAAATAGCTTTGGAACAGATGCAGTTGTGACAATTGGGATAAAATGGGCTAATATAACATAAGAATTGGACAGAAAGGATCAATAAATGTGTGCCTTACAAAGAGTAATCAATGAGAATGTGTTGCCTGGTATTGAAAGACTAAATGAGACAATGAAAAAAAGCCCGATACTAAACAATGTAACAGACTTGTTTGCTTTCTTACCAAATGTAAGCCTGATCCACTGGCGAACAATCAGCCAGGCCAAGGCAGTGACAACAAGTACTGCCACCACCTGCAGGAATGGACTGTATACCTGCAACAATCACCAGAAGGGGACAAGCTGATTACAACAGATATGTGGCAGTTACGAGGGCTCTTCAAATGAAAACCTTCAAAGTGCGCTAGAAATTACAATAATCACACCAGAAGGGGACAAGCTGATTACAAAAGATACAACAGATGTGGCAGTTACGAGGGCTCTTCAAATGAAAACCTTCAAAGTGCGCTAGAAATTACAATAATCATACCAGAAGGGGGCAAGCTGATTACAACAGATATGTGGCAGTTACGAGGGCTCTTCAAATGAAAACCTTCAAAGTGCGCTAGAAATTACAATAATCACACCAGAAGGGGACAAGCTGATTACAACAGATATGTGGCAGTTACGAGGGCTCTTCAAATGAAAACCTTCAAAGTGCGCTAGAAATTACAATAATCACACCAGAAGGGGACAAGCTGATTACAACAGATATGTGGCAGTTACGAGGGCTCTTCAAATGAAAACCTTCAAAGTGCGCTAGAAATTACAATAATCATACCAGAAGGGGGCAAGCTGATTACAACAGATATGTGGCAGTTACGAGGGCTCTTCAAATGAAAACCTTCAAAGTGCGCTAGAAATTACAATAATCACACCAGAAGGGGACAAGCTGATTACAACAGATATGTGGCAGTTACGAGGGCTCTTCAAATGAAAACCTTCAAAGTGCGCTAGAAATTACAATAATCACACCAGAAGGGGACAAGCTGATTACAACAGATATGTGGCAGTTACGAGGGCTCTTCAAATGAAAACCTTCAAAGTGCGCTAGAAATTACAATAATCACACCAGAAGGGGACAAGCTGATTACAACAGATATGTGGCAGTTACGAGGGCTCTTCAAATGAAAACCTTCAAAGTGCGCTAGAAATTACAATAATCACACCAGAAGGGGACAAGCTGATTACAACAGATATGTGGCAGTTACGAGGGCTCTTCAAATGAAAACCTTCAAAGTGCGCTAGAAATTACAATAATCACACCAGAAGGGGACAAGCTGATTACAACAGATATGTGGCAGTTACGAGGGCTCTTCAAATGAAAACCTTCAAAGTGCGCTAGAAATTACAATAATCATACCAGAAGGGGACAAGCTGATTACAACAGATATGTGGCAGTTACGAGGGCTCTTCAAATGAAAACCTTCAAAGTGTGCTAGAAATTACAATAATCATGTCATTTGTCTGGAAATATTATTGTTAAGGATGTCAACAGTGTTAAGCACGTGACATCATGGTACAGATGAACACAGTGATGTCATAATGACAGTCTGACGATGGCCATCCCACGTCTGTTGTTGTTTCTTGCGTTCACCAGCTGTAAATCCTGGCGAAAAGACCTGGTTGTTCATCCATTTCTAGACTTTCGCTTTTTTACAGGACCTGAGTTTTGAATGTGCATCTGTTTTACAGATCTTACTTATTTGCATGCAGACTATTGGTTCCTTGCCTCTCAGGCAGATACACTCCGACTTTAAAGGAAGCCCCCAGTTAGTTGACTCTTACACCATGCCTGTTGGGAAGGCAGTGGATTTATTCTTGTTTTTTTCCCACAATGGGACCCCGGAACCCACGTGAGGAATCCCACATCTGACAAGCACCTAAGAGGAGGAGCATTCTGTTATCCATTTTGTTTTCTTTTATTAGTGAAGGGGTGATACCAACAGAATGAAGGTCTACAATGGTGCTGCACGCTTGTCAGTACCCCATTTCTGGTGAAGTGGAGTAGGAAGTTTCAAAACGGCTGCAATTGACTCTGGGGTCACAGCTCTGTATGCCTGACCCTGTCATGAAAAGTCTGTCAAAGAAGTCACAACATTTTGAAACTTCCTAATTTCCTTCATTTTATAGATTTGAATGGGGAGGAATGGTTAAAGTGCTACACAGTTTGTTTGTTTGTTTGTTTGTTTTAGTATCCAAAAGCCATGAGTTGTTAACCCTTAGGCTCTGTATTATGGATATCGCAACCTTTCAGCCTTGATTCCATTGTAAATACCATAAATCTGGGAGAAAATGTGGCTTTCCTGCCTACCCCCGGGATTGAACCCGGACCACAAGGAGTTCGTCCCCCGGTCTCCGCGCAATCCGGTTTAGCCAACTACACTAGAGAGCCAGGCAAGTGCTACACAGAATCGGCACTGTTGCATACATGTAAAACTCAGACAATTAGCAGATAAAGCAGAAAAACCTGACCCAATCTCCAAGAAACAAATGAGGGCTATTAATTGATCATACGTCGTGACAAAAATCTCCAAGAAACAAATGAGGGCCATTAACTGATCATACGTCGTGACAAAGTTTCAATAGTCGACTCTTATGACATGCTTTTGGGTAAGCAGTGGGTCTATTCTTGTCTTCCCTATTATAGGGCCCCGGAACCCACATGGGGGATTAAGTTTGCTTAAGCAGCATTCATTTGAAACCTATTCCGATGGCTCTTTTTACAAAAGGCATGAAAGAAAACCAACAGGTGTGGCAAAATCAAACCAAGCAATAATATTTTGAAATATTATGCACCATGGTTTGAGTTAAAATTCAGATAATTAGCAGACAAAGCAGAAAAACATGACCCAATCTCCAAGAAACAAATGAGGGCCATAAACTGATCATATGAATTAAACACAGACAAGTAAGATTTTCAGGCATGTTAAGAAGATGCTGAACAGTTAGACATTATGGCACGGAGGATCACCTGTGTCAGAGCTGACTGAAAGTAGACAGGGCAGAAGGCTGTGGATAGACATGACTACAAACGCCACATGGCATGGACTTTAGGAAGAAGAAGAGGAGAAATAAGCTTGGAGAACTAACTGATAACTGAAATACTTGATGAGAAAAGAGCATGTGGAAGACTTGGTCACTTGTCACTTTTCCAACTGATCTATTATGACATGTTTACAAGATGCATTGTTGATGCTATTGGCGAGTTCATACTGCGCAAATGTTTAGGAGGCCAGGATATGAAGATATTAACTAAAAATAGCATCTGGAAGAGGGGATGGGGTGGGGGAAGGCAGAAGGGGTTCCTTGTGCCAAATAGCTTTTTTACAGCCGAGCTGATGTCAAATTTTCACTAACCTCAGTGACAGAGGTCAAGTGTTCACTGCATGAGTATCCTGCTACATATGTTTTCTAGATCCCAAGGAATGCATTCCATTTAATGCTTCACCCTGTTCATGTTTATTGATTATTCCCTTCATATATGTTTATATATTTCACATCCAAAAATATAGATAAACTAATTTTTTTATGAAATTATTAGTGACTTGGGTGAAATTTTTGGCTTTTTTTCCTTAAAGAATTTTTTTTTCTGGGATTCCAATGGAGTCAGAACCTATCTTTGTGAGAGTTCCAGCGGCATACCATAAAAGATGACTAATTAAGGGTTTGCTGAAATTGGATTTGTTGGACCAAACAGCAGATATCACAACCTAACTGTAAACAGCAGACCATGCCGACCGCCATTTTAATAGTAGATGCAAAAAAAAGGAAGAAGTATCTCCTATAAAACTGCCTTTACTACGATTAAAAAAAAAAACTACAGATTTGAACAAATATTTTAGATTTTAGCCAAACTCGACGGGCAAAAAGCCATAGACATCACTTCTGACCATCAGCCATGACCTCCTACAGAGTTGTGACACCTGCTGGTCTGAGTAACTGCCAGTCATCCAATTCTATTTTTTTTTTTACATAAATGAATGAAGACTGCAGCAAAAACTCAGCATGACCTCTCATTTTAGCATAATGCATATATTTCCATTAGCATAATGACACATACACACACAGTAAAATATCCAACTTCCCATACAGGTCAACAGGACCGGCTGTTCAAAGCCACCAGCTGCGACCCACATGGTAAATGTTTAGTCTCAAACTGTTATTTCCTGTCATTTACATATGTCAGCTCCAACAGAGAATGATGACTATTTACTGGTTTGGCCTCTACAACACTGCCCACACTATGTGCTATGAATAATGGTTATGGAGCTCAGTCGAAACAAAAAAACTTGTTTATCAAGTTCGTCTCCCTTCTTCTCCTTAGCGTTCACCAGCTGTAAACTCTGGTGGGAAGTTCTGGTTGTTTGTCCACGTCTGGACTGCAGTCCTGTTCCAGAACCTGGATGTTGTGTATGCGTCGTTTGACAGATCTAACACATTTGTGTGCAGTCTGTTGGTTTCTTGCCTCTCAGACAGATGCACTCCGACTTCAAAAGAAGCACCCAATAGTCAACTCTTACTAAATGCTTTTGGGTAGACAGTGGGTATATTCTTGTTTTCCCTATTATAGGGCCACGGAACCCACATGGGGGATCAAGTTTGTATAAGCAGCATTCATTTGAAACCTATTCCAATGGCTCTATTTACAAAAGGCATGAAAGAAAACCCAACAGGTGTGGCAGAATTAAACAAAGCAATCATATATTGAATGAGTTATGCACCATGGTTTGAGCTGAAAAAGTATCCCTAGGCATTCAGGCAAGTATCTCACTGCTCAGGCAGGTGCAAAAATGCCTTCTGCAAAAAAAGGATTGCTATTTCTCACAACAACCTTTTTGAACTGTACCAAATGACACATACAATTCTTTCGCTAGAGAATGTGTGCTTCAACAACAGTTTACTTATACTGCTTCATCTATCCCTAGGACAGTTTTTCCTCTGTAACAATATGCGCTTGACCCAGCATGGAAGATCTGTCGTGAAATAACATCCTTTCCTAAAAATTTGTGCCCAGTAATTTTTTAATTCGATACACATTTATTACTGTACACCGCCTGCATTCTCTTATGAATATCCACTGGCAGACATCATTCAGATGAAAGAAACTGAAGCATCGCTCTCTGAGCTTCTTTGAATCAACCCTCAATGGTCAGAAACAGAACCTATGCATCGCTGGATGGCAAGGACTTGTTCTTATATTCAATGGTCAGTACTTATCACATAACTATAATATGGTCATGTTTACCACAAGCAGTAACATGCACTGCGGCACCAATGGTTTTCAAATTAATGCTCCTAATACAAGAAGAAATTAGCAAGCTGACAGGCTTGCAGACAGTGTTTAAAGCCACCTGTGGTGTCAAACCTTCAGTAGCAGTGCCACATGACAAAAATGAAAAATAATATTTGAAAAGGAAAAAAAAGGAAGAATTTTCGTACCCGTAGTGACAAATAGGTCAACGGCCATGTTTGTGGCCAATAAATATGCACAAGAATGGTGATGATGATACAGACCACCTCCAAAAGGAAAGCAGTCAACAGGTGGCATGGATGTAGATATAGCTGATGACCAACTTTTACATGGAACAAGCACAGAATCTGTAGACCAAAAGAAAATGATTTATGAACCGAACATCTACTTTCACCGTTACCTGTTGTCAAAACAATCAAATTATACCGTTACCTGTTGTCAAAGCAATCAAATTATACTGTTACCTGTTGTCAAAACAATCAAATTATCACTATCCAAAGATGATTTGAACACCAAGGAGAACTGGCTCATAAACTGCATCTTGTCCCAAAAGCTGAGGTAATTTGGCCATGTTAAACGTCATGGTGGCCTGATAAAAACGTTGATGGAGGTATTATTTCTGAAATGCGAGGGAGAGACTGACCAAGGCGAAAGTGGGCACAAGACATTGAAGATACATTGGCTATGAAAGCACATAAGGCTGGAGAACTGGCCAGAAAGACAATCAAGTGAAACGTGACAAACCATGTTCTGTAAAGGATCTGCTGATTACGAATGATCTTCTTCTTCTTTTGTTGGCTTGAAATAGATTATCTAGATCTGCAATGTTGTCTCTTGTATGAACTTCACTGTCTTTTGTAATTCACTCAGCCACCCATAAAATGATGGTCCTTACAAATACTTATTATACAGGATTGAAGGTCTCATTAGTACACTAATTATAACTTATATGCTTAATGGGCTTCTTGGATTTGTCATGTTGGCTTGCCAATCAGATTGAAATTTTGTTGATCTTCAGCTGGTCCAACCTTCATGTAGCAGCACGGGGGTGTGGGGGGGGGGGGGGGGGGGGGGGGGGGGGGGGAGGGGGAGAGAGAGATAGGTGCAGTGGCTAGAGCCTTGCCAGCATGAAGGTCTTGTGTTTGAAACTGCACCAAGGTGGATTTTCTTATAGCTGTCAGTCTGACCCATCCCAAAGGAATACCAGGAAATGTCATGGAAAGTAAAGGTGGCTGGCAGCATATTAACCACAACACCATCATATGTGCTACTTATTATTAGCAACAATTAACAGTCATTTTGTACGCTCCATGTCGGTTCAGGGAGTTCTCCAAACATAGCTAATATTTAATCTATTTAAATAATAAGTAAATTCAATGAAAGGTTGCAGTGTTCTCCACATACAGCTATTTATTTAAATAATGAGTAAACCAATTTAAAGTCTGGGGTGTTCTCCCCCACAGCTAAAATTTAACCTATTTCAATGTGGCCAAATAAACCAGAGTTTCTACTCTACATTGTGAAGTGTGTAATGTTTGACACAATGCTGAGTTGTAAAGATACTACCCACCACTATTCCTGTGAAATACGCAAGCATGACAGCAGAAACAGCCAGGCCTACATCACACCAGGGGAAATAGCTTTTCGTATACGGGTACATATATCTGGAGAAAGAGAGATATAAATGAGATTTAGATTTGTACATATGCAAGTCTCAGGTCAGCTAGATACAACTGATACAATGTTAGAATGATCAACATCAAGAATACACTATAAACTGTGTATCCTGATTCAGCAGCCTGACAGGGGGAGATGGACCCAGCGCAGCACAATAAAGGAGTTTCTGGTGCCTTGCAATGTCAGGGCTCTTCATTAAGCATACTGACAGCTGGTAGGAGCCACTAGAGCATCTTCTGAAAACATAAACTTCAAAGCTAATCCTCTGCCACCCAGTTCGTCCCTCCCCCCACTGCCCACCCCCCCCCTCCCCCAAGATCTCCAAAACATGTACATTCATGGACCAAATTACAGCATCATGAAGCAATCAGTCTTAACTACTTCACCACACAGACCCCCTAAACAAATGTTCCTGTCATCATGACATACTAAAGGTATGGTGCCATGCTGGATTTTTTGCCCCCCCCCCCCCCCTTTCCCCCAAGATCTCCAAAACATGTACATTCATGAACCAAATTACAGCATCATGAAGCAAACAGTTTAACCACTTCACCACACAGACCCCCTAAACAAATGTTCCTGTCATCATGACATACTAAAGGTATGGTGCCATGCTGGATTTTTTGCCCACTTGGCAGTTGACACGTGTGATCTGTATCATATTAGGTTTATTCTCTCACAGAACAATAACACAGACAAGGCATCTCCTAGAACAATAACACAGACAAGGCATCTCCTAGAACAATAACACAGACAAGGCATCTCCTAGGACAATCACACAGACAAGGCATCTCCTAGAACAATAACACAGACAAGGCATCTCCTAGGACAATCACACAGACAAGGCATCTCTAGAACAATAACACAGACAAGGCATCTCCTAGAACAATAACACAGACAAGGCATCTCCTAGAACAATAACACAGACAAGGCATCTCCTAGGACAATAACACAGACAAGGCATCTCCTAGGACAATCACACAGACAAGGCATCTCCTAGAACAATAACACAGACAAGGCATCTCCTAGAACAATAACACAGACAAGGCATCTCCTAGGACAATCACACAGACAAGGCATCTCCTAGAACAATAACACAGACAAGACATCTCCTAGAACAATAACACAGACAAGACATCTCCTAGAACAATAACACAGACAAGGCATCTCTAGAACAATAACACAGACAAGGCATCTCTAGAACAATAACACAGACAAGGCATCTCCTAGAACAATAACACAGACAAGACATCTCCTAGAACAATAACACAGACAAGACATCTCCTAGAACAATAACACAGACAAGGCATCTCTAGAACAATAACACAGACAAGGCATCTCTAGAACAATAACACAGACAAGGCATCTCCTAGAACAATAACACAGACAAGGCATCTCCTAGAACAATAACACAGACAAGACATCTCCTAGAACAATAACACAGACAAGGCATCTCCTAGAACAATAACACAGACAAGGCATCTCCTAGAACAATAACACAGACAAGGCATCTCCTAGGACAATCACACAGACAAGGCATCTCCTAGAACAATAACACAGACAAGGCATCTCCTAGAACAATAACACAGACAAGGCATCTCCTAGGACAATCACACAGACAAGGCATCTCCTAGAACAATAACACAGACAAGACATCTCCTAGAACAATAACACAGACAAGGCATCTCCTAGAACAATAACACAGACAAGGCATCTCTAGAACAATAACACAGACAAGGCATCTCTAGAACAATAACACAGACAAGGCATCTCCTAGAACAATAACACAGACAAGACATCTCCTAGAACAATAACACAGACAAGACATCTCCTAGAACAATAACACAGACAAGGCATCTCTAGAACAATAACACAGACAAGGCATCTCTAGAACAATAACACAGACAAGGCATCTCCTAGAACAATAACACAGACAAGGCATCTCTAGAACAATAACACAGACAAGACATCTCCTAGAACAATAACACAGACAAGGCATCTCTAGAACAATAACACAGACAAGGCATCTCTAGAACAATAACACAGACAAGGCATCTCCTAGAACAATAACACAGACAAGGCATCTCCTAGAACAATAACACAGACAAGGCATCTCTAGAACAATAACACAGACAAGGCATCTCTAGAACAATAACACAGACAAGACATCTCTAGAACAATAACACAGACAAGGCATCTCTAGAACAATAACACAGACAAGGCATCTCCTAGAACAATAACACAGACAAGGCATCTCTAGAACAATAACACAGACAAGGCATCTCCTAGAACAATAACACAGACAAGGCATATCAATTCGATTTCATTTTAATCAGGAAGACAGAAAGAAGACAATTACTGGACTCAAGAGCACAACCAAACATAATATTGATACCAATCATAAAACAGGTTTAAACTTAAAGAGAATAAGGTACAATGTAAGACAGCTACTTATTGTCCTAATTACAATGGCTTGTTGGCATCCTACATTGACAGTAGAAGCAAAGATGCCAAGCCCAGGAACCAAAATAATGCTAACACCAACAGATTATTCAGCCATGAATTTACAACAACATCTCACATCCATGAATGAAAAATTTAAATCAATTAATATGAGAATCAACATCGAAAAGATAGAAGTGATATCAGTAGGTAGAAAGAAGTGGAATTTAAATATAGCATTAGAGTATACATATATAAACAGGCCTCTGAGTTTAAATATCTTGGAACAATATTCACTGCAGATGGTAAATTGGACAAAGAAATGAACATCTAATTCAGTACAGCAGGCCAAGTAGCTGCCCCAATACTGTCAATGTAGGTGATAAACAGGAGAGGTGGAGGAGCAGACTACAAGACCATTTAAACAGGCTAAGTTCAACATGCAAAAGATATATCATGAAAGTTAATATGAGTGAAACCAAAGTAATATATATCAGTAGAATTCCCAGTCCCTTACATAAAGGGTTGAATGGTACTCCTAACTTTAAACAATATTAAATATTAAAGAAAATTATTATGTATGCGTAAAACAAACAACGGATTGTGTCCTGAACATTTTTCAACAACTGAACTAGTTGAAACATACAAAATACACAATGAAATGAATGTTGAAATAAACTGTATACAAATTAACACTGGGAATGCAAAACATATGAAAATATATATATATATTAAACAGCTGCGGTCGCAGTGATGTTTTCCGCCATTAGAATTAGCCGTTGCCACCACTTATCTCCATACAATTTGAGAATTGATTTTACGGACATTTTTCAACAACTTACACAGTTAAAACTTCCCACATACACATTGAAATTAATGCTGAAATATGGATTAACATTGTCTGGGATGCATATTTTATGAAAATATATTAAACCACTGTGGTTATTTACATTTCTCGGCATTGTTTGCCGCCATTCGTATTCAACTGGCTAGTGCAGCCGCATGGCACTATACAATTTGAGAATTTAGGTAAGAAACTTTTCTCACTCACTCGGCTAATGGACTCTTTCTAAACACACATTAAATTGAACGTAGTGTCTAATTTTACAGGCATTAACACCGTCTGTGACTCTGTAATGCATAAAAACATTTTAATTCGTTGGCATCCGTTGCAACAAGCCATGACTCTGTTTCCTGCCATTGTATTGCCATGCAATAACATTCAGTACTGAAATTTTTGTAGAGAAATATTTCTTTAGCTCTGAAAGTTACAACTGTCCATTTTTACATAAAAATTAATGTCGTTTTTTTTTTAAATTATTTTATAAAGGTCAACACTTTCTGCCACCTGTTTAAAAAAAAAAAAAAAGTTATTTAAGTTTCACTTACCTCTTTGAAAGACAAAGGAGATCTGTCGATATATGCATAATATTGCGCCCCCCACAATTTAAATATGTTGCTAAGCATACTGAGAATGGAAGTTAGTCATCAATTCTGGTTATATTTTGATACTGAAATATTCAGTATTTTTTTACTTAACAGTAGCATTTGTCAGGTGAATTCTGTGACACACTTTTGACGTTATTTGTCTTCGGTGGCCATTTGATTTCGTTAAAGCCGTAATGGCCATATCAAGCAGAGCTGACTAAACCAAGTTATTCAAAATTTGTGACATTTTCCATACTCTGTCACCAACTGCAACACTCACAATAAACAAAACAGTAAAATCTGACGAGACTTTTACTTACATGCCAATCTGGTAAATGCTGTTTCTGCTAACCAACCAGAAGTAGAAAAATACAACCATGTGCAGAAAACACAACACAATTATAGTGAAGACTACAAGATCCCGCTGAAAATTAACAATAAAATGATGTCAAATTAGTTAATTTTTACAAATCATCAAAAATTAAACACTGTCTAATCTTAAATGTGTGCTATTAATATATCTTTATATACAGCAGTGGTCTCAATCTAGGTGGGGGGGGGGGGGGGGAAGAGGGGGGGGGGGGGGGTTAGGAAAGTTTTGAGAGGCTGGGGGGAGAGTTGGGGGTCAAGCAATTTTGAGTGCAGTGTGCTTGTAATAATCTGGATTCTGAGTGTATGTGTACTTGTAATAATCTGGATTTTGAGTGTATGTGTACTTGTAATAATCTGGATTTTGAGTGCACGTGTACTTTCAATAATCTGGATTTTGAGTGCATGTGTACTTGCAATAATCTGGATTTTGAGTGCACGTGTACTTGCAATAATCTGGATTCTGAGTGTATGTGTACTTGTAATAATCTGGATTTTGAGTGTACGTGTACTTGCAATAATCTGGATTTTGAGTGCACGTGTACTTGTAATAATCTGGATTCTGAGTGTATGTGTACTTGCAATAATCTGGATTTTGAGTGTATGTGTACTTGTAATAATCTGGATTCTGAGTGTATGTGTACTTGTAATAATCTGGATTCTGAGTGTATGTGTACTTGTAATAATCTGGATTCTGAGTGTATGTGTACTTGTAATAATCTGGATTTTGAGTGTATGTGTACTTGTAATAATCTGGATTTTGAGTGTATGTGTACTTGTAATAATCTGGATTTTGAGCTACCAGTTTGGTGTAGAGAGTAGTCCCGTTGTGTCTTGTCCAACATCATACCAAAAATAGCAGATACTATCAAGAAAAAACAACAACCATCACACTGATATTTAGTCACTAAATTACACATTTTTGGTGATTCCTTCTTTTTTTATTTGATACTTTGTTTTAGGTGATCACCAATTTTTGGTGATTGCTTCTTCTGCTATTTGATACTTTGTTTTAAGTGATTACCAATTTTTGGTGATTGCTTTTTCTGTTTTTTGATACTTTGTTTTAGGTGGATGTTTTCCTCAAGTTCTTATCAACAGTGCTTGGGACTTTTCTTGTTGTCCTCCTCTTTTTCCCCCTCATTTTTTGTTTGTTACACTGAGTGGGGAGGGGGTCATGAAGGTCTTGCCACATATTCAAGGATAGCGCCACCTGAAAACGGTTGGAGACCAATGATATACATACAGATTTAGAACCATCCTAAGGCTTGTCAGTATGAAGGCTGGCACTGAAGTTGTCTACTGATGATAGCAGGTCTTAAAACACTGCCCTAATTTTCAGAGAAAGGAAATATGACACGAACAGCCCTTCATGGCAGTCAATGAACGATCAACGACGATCTCAAGTGCACCCACTTGTGTGACCCATGCCGGAATGTGCACACACAAAAATCATCACTAAAGAAGTTTATCATTTCACTTTGCTGTCTGCTACACTGGACAATTTTCTGTAGTCCAGTGTCAATCTTAACCCCCTCCCTAAGCAGAACCGAATCTCTAACAACTCATGCCTCTTCTCCAGACCATGCCAGCCTAGTGGGTATTGGACAGGCAGAGAGATTGGCTGGATCTGCACCACTAGGTGGTGAACTGATACATGACAAGTCAGATGTGGTCAAGGCCCTTTGGGAACAAGCAACGGAATCAGTAGAGAAACAAGATGATTATAGTCTGGAGAAAAATGAGGCACCTGGGTGTAACCAGAGGGTCTGGCCGGCTCACTACACTCAGAGGAAAGGCAAGACGGACATATAACCAGATTGTGACCGGTACCATTAGTATTAGAACTCTGCACTGGCTGCTGAAGATGAGGAGGGAGTTCCCAGAGTGCTGTGATGTCAATTCTTGACTCAACTCAACTCATGCCAAGTCACCCAATCTGTTGCTATCACAAGAAGCACACCTTATGTTCCCCTATCTTTTTCTTTTCTTTTCTCTTCACTCTACAATTCCCTTCTATAGGTTCCCCCATCTTTATCTACCTTGCTGTTTGAAGAGGTTCCACTATGGAAAACTAGATAGCTGTTGGCATGGTTTATTCTCAATATCTATGTCTAGCCCCTAAGGATTTTTATATCTGTTTGCTGCAATCGCTCACTAAGCTTGTTTCATTTTAAAAGGGACTTGCCTTTCTTTTTTTTTAGCTTAGTTGTCCCCTCGTAGGACGCAATTTTTTGTTATTTTGAAGCCCCACCCTGGTTTTTGCTAAGGGCCCTAAATATAACCGGGCCATAAATATGGCCTAGACATAGATATGGCCTAACGGCTGAAAGGGGTTTGTGAAAATTCTCCACGGGTGATCCTAATCCACATGGTGACACTTTGTGCCACCGGGTGTTTATCGCTTGTGTGATGTCCTGGTGGGGCACAACTACCTACCTGCCTACCTACCTATCTTCTTTTAGCTCTCTCTATATAAGCTCTACCCAGTGATTCAGTCAAACCATTTTACATTTTCTCTTCTAATGAATGTTTGTAGTTTATTAGTAACTGATTTGTTACTCCATCTTTCTGATCTTCTTCTGTGTTCATCTGAAAATGTGAATGCACTGTGCCCGCTTACAACACTGCTGTGATATTTTTCACCTTTCAGCTGACACACCCAACTTCTGCAGGCACCTGCAGTCTGGGTTAGCCTTCTGGGTTAGTTGCATGGGATGGGATACTGCAATCTTATTGTTGTGTGGTCATCGTTTGTTTCCCAGTTCACCTGTGGTGCCCCCTATCAAGCAGTTCTAGAGTAGCTACGTAATGCTGCTGATCAGCCCTCAAGAAAAGGCAGGGGCAGAACCTGAACATCTCCTGCCATTCAAAAAAGCTTCCATAAATGCAGAGCTAATACTTGATGCTCCGGTATTGAGCTCACCCAAGGAATCATCACATCCTGCTCATGACTGTTTAACCTCACTTCAGTCTCTAACTCATCCCAGGCTATGCCTTTAGAAGCCAACAGGAGGCAGCCTACAGACCTGGGATTTCAATTACTATACAAAATGAGTGCTTGGCTTCTTATGCATGTGAGACATTTACTGTAATGGACTTCCAGGTACAATATATGTTGAAAAAGATTGTCCTTTTCCCATATAGATCCTAAAGAAATTCATTAGAGAAATAGTGTCAAATGGGTCTGTCCCCCTACCCCCAAAATGGTTTCTTCTAGAGATCAACAATTCTGAGATCCCCTGATACTTTTTCTGCAGCCAACTTGAGGCCGCTGATATCTCCAGAGTCTTTCTTTCTGATCTATAAACTGGATCTGATGTTAAGAGTTAACTTATGGATTAATATATGTTAATGTCAAACATCTGAAAACCCTTAAGATAGTTTCTGCTATGGGACTTCTTATTTCTTGTAATGTATTCTGAAATCTGTAGCACAGCGGCTAGATACTGGCCCGAAGGTCTTGTGGCTGATTTTTTTTTTTTAAACACTGACCTTCACTACTAAGTCAACCCAAAACAGGTACCAGGTAATGTCCTGAAACCTAAAGGTGGCCAATATTATGCTTAAATCACGGCGTCCGTGACTTAGGCGTTGCGAGTTTGACTCATAATTCCAACGTACTGCGATAAAAAAAAACACTGCTGGCTGCGTGGATTTTTATCACGGTATGGGGCGTTGCAGGTCGACCCAACCTAAAATGGGTACCAGGATGGCTGTCCTGTGGAAGTAAAGACGGCCGTCGTAATGACGAAAACATTACCCACCTAGTGCCGATTGGTCTGTAAAAATATAGGTGCTCTTTCCATGCCCAAAGCGCCTAAGGCGTGAAAAGGGATCTTTACTTTACCCACTGAGTGCCAACTGGTTTATAAATCAAGTATCATACCCCTGATACGCCACAGTCATAATAAGGGTCATTTACTTGTTTACTTTTCCGGAGAAAAAATGATAATATAATGCAATAACACTGTATTTTATAAACAGCTGAAAGAAGTTACATCGCTCTTCTTCTTTGCATTCAGCTGAAAACTACAGTGGAGAAAGTATTGATTTTTTTCTTGTTCCAGAAATGAGTACTGCGTGCATACCTTTTTACAATCTGACTTATTTGCATGCAACCTTTTCTTGCCCCTCAGGCAGATGCCCTCTGACTTAGTCTCATTACTCTTATTGACACAAATTTCAAGAGACTGAAAATTTACTCTGTTTTAAAAAAATATGTGCAAATAGGGGACTGATAACAATAATACATTTTGTTAGGACTTAAATTTTGTTCATGTTAATTGAGCATTCTTCTTATGTGAGTTCGTGTTAATAAAGTTTTAATGTACTATATAAATCAATTATTCTTGGAGAATGGAAGAAGAGATCAGAAATAGAAACAAGATGCCACAAGCCACTCTTATACCATTATTAAGACATCCAAACATAAATATGAGAGCCAAGAAACAGATCCTAAACAGCATATTCATACCAACACTGTGCCACAGGTGCCAGACTTGGACATTATCAAGTGCCAACCTATGTAAAATTAAAACCTGTGAAATCAGAAGTCTGAAAAAAAACTGCCAACTTAACCATCAAAGACAAAGTTAAAAATGATATTATCAGACAGACTGAGGGAACAACACCATAAAGAATTTCATTGAGAAACAGAAGATCAACATGGTCATCTAGTAAGAATGCAGCCAGAAACAACTACCAATGCAAGCGCTACACATGCAAAATCTGATGTGAAAGCAAGAGGTCACCCTAGGAGAGCACGGACTGATGACATTAAAGAGCTTCTACATGGACACGAAATGACAACAGTCATTGCTGCCCATCTAGCATTGGATCATAAACTGTTTCTTCACATGTAGCTTCATGACAAATGTGAATGATGATGATGTTTACACAAAGTGATTGCATACAGGTAACTTTGAACAATTCTGCTTACCTTTCGGTTGTCTCTCATCGACTGTTGGTAGCGATGCCATCGGCAACCGATCAGCCCAGTCAAACATACCAGGCAATATTTACGCTGGTAATGTTGAGGCTTGTCATAAGATGTGCGTACAGAAGGTAGCTTTTCCTTCATTATCGAAATGGACAACCTATCTCGATTCTAAATCCCAACAGGAAGCAAAGATTTTCTCTAGGCCGAAGATCATATACCACTTTCACAACACTTCAAATGTCCAACTGAAAAAGCTATCCCTGAGGGAAAAAAAACCAAAGTATCATCAATTAGTTACAGCCTTGTGCACATTTAAAACAATCATCATCATCATGTAACAGGTCCTTAGCAGAACGTCGCTCTCATCATGGTCTGCCTGAAAGAAACTCTCGCCAGCTTTCCCGCCTCATGCACTTTCATTATCAAGGAATCACTGAATCCTGTGCCCATCTTCATGTCGGTCGGCCCCTGCCCCTCCTTCCTGGTACCATGCCTTCTGCTAAAAAAATTTTCCAATCAGTCGTGGCGCTTGATTTAAGATGAGTTTCTTGGGATAGTAATGTGGTAGTACAATCAGTGAGAGCATATTCCACTTTCACAACACTTTAAAAGTCCAACTGGAAAACTATCCCTTGGTGAAAAACACCAAAAATATAATCAATTAGTTACAGTCCTGTACATGTATAAAGCAATACAATCATTGTCGTCAATTAACAAGAGCATAGGCCACTTTCATAACATTTCAAATGTCCAACTGGAAAACTATCCCTTGGGGAAAAAACACTAACAGTATCATCAATTAGTAACAGTCTTGTGCATGTTTTAAGTCAAGATCAATGACCTGATCTGTGATTCTAGTGATCATGTGAGATAGTGAAATATGATTGCCAAGGCTTATTTTCAGGATAAATCATGATGATGATGATGATCAGTCATGTGCAAAATGTATTAATCTAGTAATAATATTTATAATTACTATATTCACACAAATAATGAGGGGAGGGGGAGGGTGGAATCATAATGCAGAAAACAAAAATATTTTACACTGAGTCAGTCAGAAATATGGCTACATGTTTAACTGCATGACAGTATTATGGCTACTTATGAGAACAACTAAAAGGCAATTCTTCAACCTAACAATAAATAGAAATACAACAATAATGAATCACTTAACAGCTTCAACTGCTCGATTTTACACGATAATGGACTCGAGAACTTGGTGGCAAGGGGCAATATTAAAGGGTACACAGACAAGTGGGTCAAAGATGAATACACGGATAGCCTAGCTATATGGATGAGAGAGACAAGTGCACTGATCTGATTCACAATGTTGGTGATCATGTGAGATGATGAAACATAACTGACTAGACTTACTAACAAGACACATCATCATCAGGCAACTGAAATGTGTAGCCATATTCCTGAATTGTGCATTTCACATTTTATTTCTATACCAATTCACAGGATGAACGGAATGGAAAAAATACTTTCACTGATTCAACAATTCTGTTTTGTGGACATATCTAATACAAACAAAGATTTTTCTGGCGATATGCAATGGTACACAGTATAGGCACCATTTTAAAGGTAACTTATTTCTCCCAGCACTATTCTAATAGACACCTTGTGGTGATATTGGTACCCTTTTTACACTTTGTGGTCAGTAACAGCACCTATTTTTCTAGGGGGAAAAAACCAACTGAGTAGCAATAAGCTGAGATGCTTCTGAGTAGCAATAACCTGTTCAGTATGAATAACCTGTGATGCACTTTCGGTTTGAATAACCTGTGAAGCACTTCAGTAAAATAACCTGTTATGCACTTTCAGTATGAATAACCTGTGATGCACTTTCGGTATGAATCACTTGTGATGCACTTCAGTAAAATAACCTGTTATGCACTTCAGTAAAATAACCTGTTATGCACTTTCAGTAAAAATAACATCTTATGCACTTTCAGTAAGAATAACCTTTGATGCACTTTCAGTAAAAAAAGAAACCTGTGATGCACTTTGAGTAAGAATAACCTGTGATGCATTAAAAGAATAACATGTGATGCCCTCTGAGGAAGAATAACCCCTGATGCACTTGCAGTAAGAATAACCTGTGATGTGCTGTGAGTATGAGTAACCTGTGATGTGCTGTGAGTATGGGTAACCTGTGATGCACTTTGAGTAAGAATAACCTGTGATGCATTAAAAGTAAGAATAACATGTGATGCCCTCTGAGGAAGAATAATCCCTGATGCACTTGCAGTAAGAATAACCTGTGATGTGCTGCGAATATGAGTAACCTGTGACGTGCTGTGAGTATGAGTAACCTGTGATGCACTTTCAGTTAGAATAACCTCTGATGCACTTTCAGTAAGAATAACCTGTGATGCACTTTCAGTAAGAATAACCTGTGATACACTTTCAGTAAAAATAACCTGTGGTGCACTTTTATCAAGAATAACCTGTGATGCACTTTCAGTAAGAATAACCTGTGATGCACTTTCAGTAAGAATAACCTGTGATGCATTTTGGGTAGTAACTACCCTCAAAGCACTGTGATTATGAATAACTTACTGTACACTTTCAGTATGAATAATCTATGATGCACTTTAAGAAAAAAAGAAAAAAATAGAGAATGCCAGGAGTATGAGTTGGAGGATATAATATAAACAACTTGCGTTATGCAGACGATACAGTTTTAATAGCAGAAAATACAACTGATTTACAACAACTGCTGGATATTGTGGTGATGGAGAGTGCTAAGAAAGGACTTTCATTGAATATTAAGAAAACGGAAGTAATGGTTAAATCAAAGAAGAAGATAATTCCACGTTGTGATATCTCAGTTAAATGAAGAAACTTAACCAAGTCAACAAATTTAAATATCTGGGAACATTCATATCATCAGATGTAAAATGTGTGACAGATTAAAAACAGAATAGGTCAAGCAAATGCTGCATTTCAGAAAATGAAAAATATCTTATGCAATAAATCGCTCTCATTTAATGTCAGAAAGAGGGTGTTAAAATGTTACATAGAACCTGTTCTGCTGTATGGCAGCGAATCTTGGAATGTCACTGAACAAATTAAGAAGAATTTGGAAGCAACAGAGACATGGTTTCTGAGACCAATGTTAGGAATACCTTGGACAGCCAGAGTAACTAACAACAATTGCTTGAAAGAGGCTTATGAAAGTAGATCTCTATATACAACAATAAGAAAGAGACAAACACTGTTCTTTGGCCACATAATGAGAAGAGAGATATTGGAGAACATTGTGACAACTGGAAAGATCAGTGGAAAATGGAGTAGAGGCAGACCAGACCAAGACAGATGATCTTAGATAGGCTAAAACGATGGCATGGAGGGATATCATCAAGAGAGCTGTTCCAGTCAAACAGGGATCGTGATCTGTGGGGACACATGAGCACCTACGCCAATAGGCAGGGCACATGATGATGATGATGACATAGGGTAGGAACAGCCTACAATGCACTCAGAGTAAGTCAAAGCTATGATTCCTTTTTAGTAGGTATAACCTGTCATGTGATCTTACCAAATGACATATTAACCAATGAATCACCGCTGATGTTGCTAATATGCTACAAAATGTTACAAGCCTGCCAACAGCTAAAATGATTGTTCTGTTAATAGCATTCTAATAGCTAGATGATAACTAATTCCAGTGTTTGTGTGTGACTCAGATGGTAACATATTAAAAAACAAGATAGCAGATGACACAGACAGCCAGTGACTAAGTCATGGGTGGGAGAAATGTGAACGTGAGATCAGTCAGTGCTGCTTTAGTCAGAAGTGTGTGCATGTGTGGTGGTTGTGTGAGGGGTATGCACTATGCGTGTCTGTATGTATGTCAGTGTTTGTGTGTGTGTCTGTGTCCCTGTATGTCTGTATGTGCATCTGTATGTCTTATTTTGTCAGTGGGTGTCTGTATATAACTGTATGTGTGTCTGTTTGTCAATGGGTGTGTGTGTTTGTGTATCTTCTTCTTCTTCTTCTTCGCGTTCACCAGCTGTAAACTCTGGTGTAAAGTTCTGGTTGTTCGTCCACTTCTGGACTGCAGTCCTGTTCCAGAACCTGAGTGTTGCGTGTGCATCAGTTTTACAGATCTGATTCAATTGAATGCAGACTGCTGGTTCCTTGCCTCTCAGGCAGATGCACTCCGACTTCAAAGGAAGCTCCCCAGTTAGTCGACTCTTACGACATGCTTTTGGGGAGGCAGTGGGTCTATTCTTGTTTTCCCCACAATAGGGCCCCGGAACCCACACGGGGTGTTTGTGTATCTGTATGACTGTGTATGTATGTATGTCTCTCTGTGGGTGTCTGTATATAACTGTATGTGTGACTGTATGACAATGGGTGTGTGTGTCTGTATGACTCTGTGTATATGTATGTCTTTGTGTATGTATTTGTGTGTGTCTATATGTCAATGTGTGTGTCTCTAAGACTGCCTGTATGTCTGTCTAAGTCTCTGTATGTCTATGCAAATGTTATCATTATGATGAGAAGAATGACTGAATCAACATAAAATGCCATTATGCAGCTCTGTGAAAATAAAGACAAAAATAACAAACCAAAATTTCAACCAGTCTTTATCAACAAACAAGCAAAACACTTAACTACAAGAATACTTAAAACGATGAAGAGAAGTTTCCCAAACTCAAATAACTGCATGTTATTTATGTAGTTCAGTGTTTCTGTTTGTTCACAGATAAAGATTGTGGTCAACATATTCTCTTCTTATCTGTGTTTATTCAGCCAGTGCTACGGTCAAAGGTAGAAGGGTGACTGAAGTCGGACTGATAGTGAAAAAAAAAAAAATACAACACAAAATGACTAGGAAACTTTCCTTCGAGGTTGAAGTGCATTTGTCTGAGAGGCAAGGATCCAACAATCTACATAAACATAAGTCTGGTTGTATGCAAGGAGATTCTAATTCAATTATTATCAGGGTGGTTTTTTTTTTTTTTTCAGGGTGTGTTCTATCTAATGCTCTTGATTCACTTTAATTTTACAGCAAAGCTCATACTAGAGACAGAATTGCAGATATAGTTTATCTATTTCAAGCAAAAGAAAGAAGAAGAAGAACTTTAATTTGTTTACTTCTCTCTTAAAGTTCAACATTAGGTATT